GAGCACAATCAACATCCCTCAATTTGGATTTTCTAAAGTTTGGAGAAAAGGTTCAGGTGAGGGGGTTATTGTTTCCTCCTGCTGGCTCCATAAAGGAACAGACGAAGCCTCATTATAATCCCATTCTTCGTGCACTTCACACCTGGTGACTAAGTGTTCATGAAAAAGGTTGTCACACCACCTCAGTCCACACTTACACGTGCTAAGTCTTTAAGTATTCTTGCATCTTTCTGAAAACAACAAAAGGGCAGCAGCGAGCACTCGGAGGCTCAATAACTGGCAATTATCGCCTGATTGTTGTTACTGAACTTGAGCTGACTGTAATAACACAAAAAAAGTCCTGTTACCAGCTCTGACCTTTGGATGTGGGGTTTGTGAATACATCCAGGGAAGACTGCACAGCTGAAGGGAAGGCCTTGTGAGAATCAGAGAGATGATTTACAGTGTTTGCAGCCAGTGGCGTAGTCAAGATACTTGGAGGCAGGGGTAGAAAATTTGAAAGGGGCACCTGCTGTATGTCCAGTAAGAGTTTGAGTATTATTATACAACACTGACCATGTTTTACTATCAAAACTATCATCAAAATAAAAAAGACACTTAATGAACAATTTATCCACTGAAATGGCAACTAGAAAGTGCTATGTTTGCATTTATTCCATGAAAGAGCACCCAGATGGCTCTGAGTTTATCTACTTCAATGGCAATAACAACCAGAGGGCACTTTGTTTACACTTAATTTGCAAGCGAAACATCCAGAAGGCCCATTGTTTACATTTTTGTACTTAAACAGCAACAAGAGAGCACTTTGTTTTTATTCTATACAATGAAAGAGCAACAGTGAAGTACTTTATTTACATTTGACTGGCTAACAAAACAACCAATGGGTAAATTGTTTACATTAAATTCAATAAAGAGCAATGATAGGGCGCTTAATTTACGTTTATCTTTTTAAGAAAACAGCCTTAGGGCACTTTGTTTACATTTTATCCTACACAAGAGCAACTAGAGGGCATTCAATTCACTTTTTATCTGCAAACAAGGTTATCAGGGGGCGCTTTATTTTTAGCTCAGTTTACTAAAAACAACTATGGGGCACTTTATTTACATGTACCCTGCTGACAAAGCAATCTGAAGGCACTTGTGTATATTTTATCCAATGGAGCAACTAGTCAGCACTTCGTTTACATTTTATCCTATAAAAAAAGCCACTAGAGGGCATTCAGTTTACTTTTTATCTGCAAACAAAACAATGAGAGATACTTTATTTTCACTCAATTTACCAAAGATATCAACCATGGGGCACTTCATTTACATGTACCCTGCAGACAAAGAATATTTTATCCAATGGAGCAACTAGTCAGCACTTTGTTTACATTTTATCATACCACAGATCAACTAAGAGCACTGTGTCAGGGGCCTTTAGAGGGCCTTTATTTTCGTTTTTCACATCATTTATCTACCAGGGGAGCTATCGGTGGTAACTTGGTTTACATTTTATTCATTAACAAAGCAATAGAAGGGGACTTTATTAACATTATTTTTATGAAAGAACAACCAGAAGGTTTTCATTTCTATACTGAAGGACATCAACCAGGGTGTATTTTCATGTGATTATTTCATCAAGGGCACTAGAGAGAGATTTTTATGAAGTTTTATTAAATACAAAAGCATTTAAGAGGATACTTCAGTCTTTTTTTCAGAGCTCTCAGTCAGTGAGGGAGCAGAAATAAAGAAGCAGCAGCAAACTGTGGTCTTCAGAGAAAGCTGAATTAATGTTATGAGGTGCAGAAAATGAAGATACAAAATAAGGCACATTAACTACAAGTAAACAAGAGAGTATACAAAGTCCTGAACAGGACAGGAATGGATTTTGGAGAGACTGAGTTCAACAGTTTGAGAATAATGTTCTTGAGTGTAGAATGTCAAGGAATAAGTGGATTTTATCCTCTACAGCGTTGGTAAAAAAAAAAAAAAAAAAAGGTGTTTTCAATGACAGAACTCAGAGGGATGAACTCTATCAGTCTTTAAAAATGGGAAACAGCTTTATCAAGAAATATGAAATAAGCTGATTATTTTATGGATCGATCTTAACATGAAATCAAACTGTCACCAGGTGTTTCAGTGTTTACAGAGCTGGACTCTTGCCTCCTGCTGAGCTGAGTGACGGCGGTGATGCATTAACAGCTTCAACGGAAAACACTCTTCACACATGCAGGGATAAATATTATAATAAAATACATTTCTCTGAGCCCAGCACTGTGGAAACAAAATGACAAAACGGCTTTAAGATTTATTTCTGTTTTTCAGCTGAAGAGCAAACTGACTGACGTTCATCTGATGTCGAAACAGAGACATAAGAAAACACAATATCTACTCATAAAGCGAAAAAACTATTTATTAAAACGTGTCTTTGCTCTAACACACTTGCAATGTGGTTTTTCAGTTACTTTTGTTGTATTTTATTATGTTATATAATCTTTTTTGTAAAGCTCTTTATTAAAGGTCCTATAATTTTTGATTATTTTAAGTAATGTATTGTTATACAAATTATAATCACAAAGACTGTATTCTTTTTATATACCTTTATATGTGTAGATCATAGTTTATCTTCATTGAACTTTAATTTTATTTTCTGTTGAATTTTATCAGTTATTAAAGTGTTTCTTTTTACTATCAGCTCTTCTCCTGAAGAGAGGACAGATGCTTCAGTCTGAGCCAAACTCCTGTTTGAATCAGATGTTAATAAAACAAAGACAGCTGATGAATTCATGGAGTGACTTTCTCCAGAAAACTGTGAAGGGTTGTTACTAATTCTAATATGGAGAGGACTGTTTCATTCAGGCTCATTAAATATCTAATTTAAACCCTGATCAGATGAAATCGGTAAAAATATCCTCCTGTGGGCTGTTGAATCATTTTTATCCCTCCGTCTGTGGAGGAAGAAAAACTCTTTCTGTTCCTCTTTTACAAACCGACACTCGTCCAGCTTCCTCTTTTTATGTCCCGTAAATCAGACGCCATCAGGTCTTTTTTTAGGAGCCCTGAACTGTTTAATTACCTCAGACCACAGAGAAGACACACACACACACACACACACACACACACACACACACACACACACACACACACACACACACACACACACACACACACACACACACACACACACACACACACACACACACACACACACACACATATAGACCTTCAGAAACATCAGAAAACCTTTTGATTCCTCACAGCTGCTTTGTTCTGATTCATTATTTTCTACCCATGATTCTCTGCTGATGGACTTCATTCAGATAAAACCCGTTCCCTGCTGGACTGGGTAAACTGGACGCCCCGTGTGCACATTTAATGAGGCGTCGTGTCTTTGTTATGGAGCAGAGCTGACTGAAGCCTGATGCAGGGGACTTTAAACGGCGCAGAGTCGGGATCAATTTACAGGAATAAAAGGACGAACAGAAAGCTGTGTAGGAAAACCGAAAGAATCCAGACACTGTGAAAAGACTGGGAACGACGAAGTGTCTGAATGTTTACTTTCTACCTCTGTGGTTAAGATTTTAACTCCAAAACACGCTCATGGCTACAAAACCTCTTAAAAATCACAAATGATGACTAAATATGCAACATCTAAATATCCAATATAAACATATTAGATTAGAGCTCCAGGAAAGCTCAGCCTCACTCTGATGATTCTGTTATATGTCATCATCTATATCTGAGGATACACCTCTATTTTTGTAACTTCATATTTACTGTAGTTGTTCGCATGGCTATAACTTGATATCCTGCAGATTGTGACCTCAGACCAGGGCTGTGTGCAGACATTTGTCAGGGCCTCACTGAGGGGCTGACATGTGCAGGGGTGGATGTAAGAGTTTTACATCCAAAGCAAGTGAACCTACCAACTCAGACACTCAGACACATTTTTTATCACTCAAGAAGTTTCCCGGCAAGCATCGGTATCGACAAAACTATGTCAAAAAGTATTAGTATCTAGTATTACGATATTACCAAAGATAGGAATAGAAAAGTATTAAGCTGCTTTACAACATGCGCAAAGTTTCCAACCATTAAACATTACAAACATTATCGTCCCTTCCACTCACGATCATTAAAGGGATATTCCGTTGTAAAATTAAGTAAGGGTAAAACACACCTTAACATCAAGTTAGACACCACCGTCGAGAGATGAATGTTGCTGACCACTTGCTTCTCTAGTTATACCAACTTTAGTAACGACCGCAGATAGCAATACAGAGAGTCTAGCGCTCAACCAAAACGCCACTCTATAGCCACAAATAATGCTCAGAACAGCACATAACTTCATCAACAGTACATACAGGGTCCCAGCCATAGTACTAGCCACCAAACATCTCTTAGCTTTGCCTGATTTCTTTAGCAAAGAGACTAAACACAACTCACCGTCTCTGTTCCAGCAGCCACTTGTTTATAGCGAGACCTCAGGCCAGTCCGTTACGGACTGCTGCGGGTGACGCAGCTCAAGGAAGAACATTTATGATCATTTTTTCATGGAAATGCAATCAGACCGAGACGCTAAGGCAGAACTACTGCGTCCTCTTCAAGGAAATGATAAAGCAATGATCATAAATATTCTTCCTTGAGCTGCGTCACCCCGCTGCAGTTGATGGACTTGCCCAGAGGTCTCGCTACAAACAAGCGGCTGCTGGAAGAGAGATGGTGAGTTGTGTTTAGTCTCTGTGCTAAAGAAATTAGTCAAAGTTAAAAAGATGTTTAGTGGCTAGTACTATAGCTGGGACCCTATATGTACAGTTGATGAAGTTAGGTGCTGTTCTGAGCATTATTTGTGGCTATAGAGTGGCGTTTTGGTTGAGCGCGCGGCTCTCTGTATTGCTATCTGCGGTTGTTACTCAAGTTGGTATAACTAGAGAAGCAAGCGGTCGGCAACATTCATCTCTCGACGGGGTGTCTAACTCTGTGTTACAGTGTGTTTGACCCCAACTTAATTTTACAATGGAAAATCCCCTTAAGTTTACCTTTAACCTGTAGAGTTCACACATCATATCACCCCTATTTCTCTCAGACTTCACACAAAGAAGCTGGTGCAAAGAAGTCTGGATGAAGTCAGACTGAAAATATGTGTTTGCTTCCTTGACAATAACAGAAACATTTCAAAAGTGTGGCTCATGCGTAAAATCAGGCTTAATTAGACTCTAAAATAAAGTGGAACAGAGCTGCAGATGTAAATAAAGACCGTTTCTGTTTATTGACTCATAAAACATCCTTCAAACAATAAACCTATGTCCGGTAAGGTCTCTGTACAACGCTTACTAAGCAGTTTTATTTATATAGAAAACGTAGGAGGAGCCGTTGCTTAAAATCACAAGGCTCCTTCAAATTTAATGGCAGGTACTCTGGAAAAAAATTACAGCATTCCATCAACAGATATTTTCAAGCAATAAATATGCATTTATAAATAGTGTAAATTTACATCAAATAAAAAAAGAAACACAAATTAAAGTTCACTCTTTTGTCTGTGTGCAACCCTTTTTCTCTGTGACGTGGCTGTTTGTCTACAAATATCTCCTCCTTTCCAGCAAAGTAAAGGATTCAAAGAAAGAAATGTTGGAAAGGAAGAGTCACTCAACTTTTAACTGAACCTCTTATTTTCCTGACTGAGGAGGAGGAGAAGAAGGAGGAGGAAGGAATCTAGCTAACATACAAAAGACCAGCTATGCTAAATACTCGTCTCGTTGAGGGAGGGGGGGACAAAGCTCTGGTGTCGTCTCACAAACAGAAAAATGTAAAAAGAAAAGTCAGTAGTCTTTGTGTGAAACAGAATATGTACAAAACTTTAATTCATCATCTTTCTGTGGATTTTTGTGTTTTTCTGGGCCAGCAGGAGAACAGTCTGGTCATGATGAAAGAAGAGAAGGAGGAGGAGGAGGAGGAGGAGGAGGAGCTGCCTCCCCCTCCCTTGTAGAGTCCATTTTGAGGGAAGAGGAGGGGGCACACTGCTCCAGGCAGGTTGCATAGACACACAGCTTTCATCCAGCTGCCTGATGGGGGAGCTACAGAGCGCCGTTTGAGGACCGCCGGCTCACTTCCTGAATATCAGAAAAGAAGGGAAAGATTTTCCGCAGAGTTCAGATCGTGGTTCAAACTCCTCAAGTTAACAGTGTGAGCATCAGGAGGGCAGGGGGCTCGCCTGTGAGGGGGGACAGGGACAACACACTGAGCTTATGCATCCTAACTTTGAGAGGTAAATACATGCACAGTGACTTACATGTACTGCACAGTGGTTGATATAAATGTTTATTACGCAACTGACTTAAAAGAAAACGTCTTAAATATGGGAAAAAATGTATATTGAAAAATTCATAATGTATTTTATACGAAGGGTACTGAAAACAATGTGTTAGACAATGTATTACACATTGTAAAGAGTGTATATTGTGCAGCAGATGATGTAAATTGCATAGTTAATAATGTATGAGTGTTTAACCTATAGTAAATAATGTAAATAGCACGCTGAATCCTGATTGGTAGATACATGGCTGATGATGTAAAAAGCATGGTAAAGAATGTATACTTGGCAAATGAATGTTACATAGTGGATGGGGTATGATATGTTACATTACAATGTACATAATATATTTTCAATGGAAGGTCATTCACACTGTGCAGTGGATAATGTCTGTTGAAGGGTAAACAATGCATACTAAATGGCAAATATCTATGGAATGGTAGGTAATGCACATTACATAACAAATGCATACAGCAGGATACAGGATGTCATATGCAGTGTTAATCATGTTCATTGCAGAGAAAAAGTTTTGCATTGTAGATCATGTTTATCTTAGAGTAAAGTTTTTTTTTTTTAATAATTAGTTTTATCAATTATCTGTAATACATAGGCGATAATGAATTGTTGCTATAAATGTGAATACCACACCTGCTGTTATCATTCGTTTGTAGCTCCTGCAACCAGTACACATGCCTTTATCTTAATCATATTTTTAACAAGTTATTTTCAGGCTGTTTTCGGACAGTGGAAAGAGGAAAAGAGGAGAGACAGCATAGAGTGACATGCTGGAGGCAAACCCGTAAATGTACTCTGCACCAGAGTACTACTAGTATACAGTAAACCTGATGGAAGGCTTTGGTTGTGTGTGATACTCACGAGTGTGAACTGGTCATAAACCTGCATGAGGTCCTCGATCCTGTACTGCTCTAGCACCACAAAGTTTTCCAGGTTGGAGCTCGCCCTGCGGGCACAGTCCTGACAGTGCACCACGTACGTTTTCCTGCTGTTACTCTCGCTGGTGACGAACAGCAGGTTGAACACTTCCACCTGAGCGGAGTCGAGACAGGAAAGGGCAACAGTGTCAGAGCAAACTGAGAAGGTTGAGGCAGCTAGAGCTAATTAATGGTGCTAATTTATTCAAAGTTGACTTTCTTGTGAGCATATTTACTTATTTTTCATTCTTCGAGAGGGTTAAAAGTATGAAACAAGTTAAAATGCAAATGAAATATACAGCTTTTTGTGTTCGACAGTAAAAATGTGACAATAAAAACACTTCCAGCCTGGAGATGGAGCTTCGGTTTTATCATTCCTGATATCGAAGTGTAAATAAACCTGCAGAGCCAACAGCAGCTCAGGTCTCAGGGGGATAAATGCAGCACAGAGGATGTCAGTGCAGTTTGTGTTCTCACCTCACAGATGCTGCAGTAATGCGCTGGCTCGTTCTGCGTCCTCCCGTGCCACACCAGCTCTTTCCCAGCATTCAGGAGGAGTTCTCTCTGCATCTGACACTGCTTCAGAGTCCGTAACAAACAATACCTAACACACACACAGAGAGAAACACGCACACACATACAGGTGAGATGAGTTCAAACTGAGACAAACATACCAAACCGGTCGTATAGGAAAGCAGCGAGTCCTCACTTGATCATCTCAAAGAGCTTGTGGTCGGACACTTTGATGTTCCTGGCCATGTTCCAGGAGAGGTGGATCATGGGAACAATAGATTTGACGCTCTGCAGCTTGTTCCACTCATATCGCTCCACTGCCAACTTATACTGATGAGCTGAGGGTGAAAACAGACGATGCAAACGTCACTTATTTCAGTTCAGTCAACCAGCTGAGGATGAAGTTCTCAGTCATAGAGCTGAACCCGCCTCCACCTGCAGAGACTGTTTTCTCACCTGTGAGGGGTCCAACGTTCCAGGCGATGTTGTTGCACCAGCCGATAGCCTGAACCCAGTGGATGGTTCCTGTGTTGAGCCACACCAGGTCCCCCGGGCGCTGAATGAACCGGTAAACAGGCACGTTGGTCTCGTACAGATCTTCCAGGTTCGGCCACCAGGAGCCCATCAAGAAGTTGATGTTATTCCTGAAAAAGAAAACACACTCACTGATGAGCTAAAATCTTGATGATATAATACTTACATTACATTTTTCAAAAAGTGTTTTTTTTCAATTTTTCAAGTTGATTGCATGAGCCGGTGAACACAGAGGGTTGTAACAGCTGCAACATCAGCTTTCAGCACATATTTATCTCTTGGACATCTGTCCTTTTAACGGTGGTGAGCAATACTGACAGAAAATAATGTCCTGATATTTTGAAGGAATTCTGCAGATGATGACGACTAATGAGATTTTGCATCTATTAAAAATGCATAAATGAAAAACAAGAATGTGGTCTTCGAAGTCTTTTATCAGCTCGCTCTTGCATACTGCATGACCTCTCAATCTGCATGTACAGAAGTCTGTCCCGGTAGACTTGATCATACTGAGGTGGGTATGCGTGGAGTTTGAAGACATGCTCTGACTGGGGAAAAACTAATACCATATACTCCGTAATTTCATTTTGCTCATCTTAAAACAACTGTTGATATTTATCTCCCAGACCTTTAACCTCCTGAATCTCTTTTTTGTCTCTTGACAGGCTCAGATTGTTATTTCAAGTGTCTGACAACATTACCCAGAGGATCCCTGCAGAGACAGAGCTGTTATCTTAAAGGAAGACACTTTGATGCAGGTTTCTCCTGAGCTACCAGACTCCATTTACAAAACCTTTCCTTAAAAAAAATCTGAATTTGCATGGCTTCTGTACTTTTGTGCAACCTTTGTGTGTTAAATAAAAAAGCCTGGATCTAACACGAATAAGTACGGCGCCTAATTATGCAGAAAAAGCTCAAGCGATAAAGGCAGCTGTGGACAAAAGAGATCCGTCCTCTGCAGAATAGAACTGACATTTTTTCATTTCGACACACAATCAGTTAAAAAAAGAGCTGAGGTTTTAAAGTGTTAGGAGTCCGTTCTCTGTCTTACTTTTCACAGAAGTCGTTGATGACGCCCCAGTACGTCTCCGGCACAGCGAACCACTCACAGTCTCCAGGACCGATGTTGATGTTGACGGAGCAGAAGTTGTTGTTTTCTTGGTGACCTAGGAGACAAGAAGACTGAGTTAGAAACAAAGAGACACAAATAGAAAAGCGGATATTAGTTCTCTTGGTCTTGAGGTACCTGGAGTCCTGCTCCCCGGCACCTTCATGTAGAGCTGCACCGTGTTCATGCCGAGGATGGTGTGACCCACGTGACTCAGCAGGTTACCGGCTGACACAACCCGAGCGAAGGCTGGAAGTTTGGACAACTCCTGGAGCTGCTGTTTCCACCTGAGAGGAAAGAAAAAGGGTTAAAGGTTATCATAGGACTGTAGAAGAAGGAGGTGTTCCATATTTTCCAATCTTAGGGGGAAAGACTCACTTCTTCTCATCAGAGAGGTCGATGTTGGTGCCAAACTTGATGTGTTTGAAAGGACCTTTCCTGCGTCGCATCAAACTGAGAGAGAAATACAAGCTGATGGAGTTAGTGACGGAAATATAGAAGCAGACACCTTGAGCTGATACCTGAAGAAGAGAGACAAAAACTCACCTGTCTGATGAACCTGCCTCTGCCTCCATCTCCTTCTTCTTCTCGTTCTCCTCCTAACACAGAGCATCATACATTTAGAGGGGGGTGAGGGTTACAGCATAAACAGAGTTACATAAGTTTAACTGGAAATTCGAGCAAAAAACGCAGTACAGCAAAGATTGGTGTTGTGTCATCAACTGAGGTAGACTGGCGTTGTTAAAACTCTGGTAACACTTGTGCAGACAACACTAAACAGCATACGATTTATCTGTTTAACTTAAAAAAGAGAAATAAAAGTCTCTGCTGAGAATTTTAAGGAGGAATTCCCACAAGAATTCAACAGAGGTCAAAATAACAAAGCAGGAGAGGGAAGAGGTGCACTGACTTGGTTACAGATGCAGAATAGTAACAAATAAGAAGCTCCACACAGACATACAGTGATCTCATGCACTGTAGAGCTAATTCAATGTCCCTTATTAGATTTATAGTAGTTTGAATTTTGATAGACTTAAAGCTCCTGTGAGGAACGTTCGATTTGTGTCATTCTGGCGCCCCCTGTGGTCAAAGCAATCGTATATAAATGTTCTGTATGCTTCAAAATGACTCTTTACAGAGAAAACTACAAACACTCAAAACGAGCAGCTCTGGATCTGAAAACTGAACCTCAATGAAACAAGTGTGATCACTTCCTCTCCCATACGGACCTCTGCCAAGGATGTTATCAGAAGTCCCGCCCCTTTCAATTCTGATAGGTCAGTAGTCAAGAAGTGACAGTAATAAGCGCTGAGGTGTTTCAAATGTTGAAACATTTTTAACTGAGAAGGCAGAGACAGAAAAAGGCTGAAGCTGAGGCTTTTTAAGAGCTGCGGACCCCTCAGTGAGGAAAACGGTGAGCTGAATGTAGTTGGGCGCTTCGTAAAGGACTCAAACTTGGATCACACGGTAAAACTTTAAAAATCAAGTCTGGGATCAAACGTGCACCCTAACAGAACAATCTGCAACGTTAGTATGTGGCCAATAATACAAATAAAATCCCTCAGAGGTTCATTGCTCAGCTTTGGTCCATCTGCATGTATCAGTTTTCCAGCCAGTGTGTGTGTGTGTGTGTGTGTGTGTGTGTGTGTGTGTGTGTGTGTGTGTGTGTGTGTGTGTGTGTGTGTGTGTGTGTGTGTGTGTGTGTCCTCACTGACCCTCAGAGACTCCTGGAAGGACGAAGCCTGGTACTGAGCATATTTGATGATGGTGGTGTGCGAGCGGCTGCTCTCGCAGCGCCACATCTTCCTGCTGCCGCTCGGGTCCCAGTTCTCGTCGGTGGGCTGAGCGAGCTGAGTCCGAACCTCCACCAGGTGGTCTGGGTTGGCCTCCACTAATGTCTTCGTGGAGAACAGGCCCAGATCTGCATGATGTGGAAAATGAAGGAAGGTTTGAATTTCAGGATTTTGTTTTGTTTTCAGACTCAGAAAAAAAAACGGTTCTTGTTAATTTGAGGGTTTTTAAGGAGCTTCACCAACATGATTTCAGTCTTTGGGATCAAAAGGGAGACCGTTTAAAAAAAGTATGTTTGTATTCTTCTGTTTCCCCGAGGAAGAACAAGGTGAGACTCTGCTCAAAAGGGGGCATACAGGATGGTTCGGTTGTCCTTGTTTTTAACCGTTGATGATAAAATTCCTTTACAAATCAACCACAAACCACTCTGTCAGATTTCAGTTTTACATAATCAGGCAGTAAATCAGAGTGACTGAGCAGCAGATGCCTGAAACTTGTTGGCAAAAAGCTCCTAAATTTCCTCTCCAGCAAACACGTGCAGTAACAATTCTCACTTGCAGGTGGTGCTGTTGTTATACATGTTAAAGTCAAACACATACACACACTCACACTCATACACACATACACACACAATGCCTGTCATGATCTCAGAGACACACCCACAGAGCCATGTGAGACTGGAGCAGACACAAACACCCAGCTGCTCTCAAGCTCTACATTTCACCGAGTCTGACGCCTGAAACATAAACATTCAAACAATTTACAGGCGTTCTTTTCTGCGTGCATGTACCTAGTTTGAGAGCTCCAGCCAGTCCTCTGATGACGGTGACCGGGTTTGCAGAGTTGGTGCAGAACTGATGAAGAGGAGGGTAGAAGGCGTCCCTCTTGTTTTCAAGCTGCAGGTCAGAAAAAAAAAAAAAAAAGAGTAAATTGTGAGAGCTGCAGCCGCAAGAACAACATCTGAAATATTTCTCCTTGTACGGTGTGTCTGAACGCACATAAATACTGGGCGTGGGGGGATTGAGTTTGTCCTTTGGCAGCGGAGGAGAGGGGGGCCGAGGGGGGCGGGGCGGGGGACACTTGTCCAGGAGGATGCTGCTGGTCGACAGGCCGTTCTTCCCCAGGTTCCTGCAGACAAAACAAAGGTCAGAAAGTTAATAAAGTGCTCCTAAACCTATATATATTGTTGTATGTTGTCTTTTAAAATTTTCTTTGCACTATTTTCATTTAAAGACTTGACTGGTTCTTAAACCGTCAAATCAGGGTTGAAGTTCGTTCGTACCTGCAGGCTTTGAGCACCTCACTGGAGCTGGGGTAGATGGACACTGAAGACCAGGGAGCCAGACCAGCAGGGACGCTGTGTTTCTGAACGTCTCCTGAAGGCTCCACCTTCATCGGGCTCTGGGAGTCCTCGGGGCCCTTCCCGTTGACGGTGGGCCCCTGACTGGTCGTGCTGGACGGGCTGTTAAGGCAGGAGAGGCTGTTAGCGGTGTGAGGGTCTGCAGAGCACGGAGACGGCGTACCGACGGTCGCTGCCGGCTCTGACGTTGGCTTGGTGGCACCGTGGAGACCCGGGTGGACGTTGTTGATCTTCTCTGAGGAAGGTCCTCCATGGTTGCTGTAGTTATTGTTGTCGTCATTACTGGTGGCATTGGCTTTTCCCTTTAGCAAGGCTGAGAGCTGAGGATTGTCTGAAGTGAGCACGCCGGGGGCAGGAGAGCCAGGCTGAGACTGGCTAACGGTGCTGTCTGTCACCCGCGGCTGGACGTGATTAGTCAATCCCTGCGCGGGGGCGGAGCCGGGACTCAAAGGTGTCCCTGCTGAGTGCCTGACAGCGGCTTCCGAACCTGATGGCAAAGTGGCAGCTCCGCCGTTGCTGCCGTTGTTGCCCCCTGAAGGCGTGGCGTCTTTGGTGTGGACCCCTGAGGTAGTCGTGGAGTGGGGGGGAGAGGACAGGTGGTTGGGGGTGGAGTTGGGGGAGGTGGGGGACAAGGAGGAGGCCGAGGAGGAGGCAGTGCAGGGCCCAGAGGAATGTCCGACCTGATTCAGAATGCCAGAGGAAGAGAAGGAGGTCTGAGGGGAGGAGGAGGAGGAAGAGAAAGGGGGTTCTCCATTGGGACCTGCCGAATGTGAACCTGGACCTTTTTGAAGCCCCTGCAGAGAGAGGAAAAAACCACAATGTCACCTCATAAAACTAGAGACTCTGCAAAAGACAGATATGAGCCGTATCATGATCTGGGGTCAGTTCCCTGCAGGACCTCTTTCCCACATCTGGCTGAGTGAAAGATTTATCATAATGCATGTGCGATACATCAGGTTATAGATACGTTTTTTAGTTAGGTGATGCAGGACAGATCTGTGGTTGACAACATAAATACAGTGCAGACAGACAATGGAGACAAGACAAAGTGACAAGAAACACATAACATTTAGATACATTTAGACGGCGTTGCAAGGCTGTGTTTCATTAAGTGAGGGTAGGTGAGTGTTTTTATGTGTGTTGTGAAGTGTGTGTGTTTGTGGGTGAGCTCGTTCCCTCTTTATCCCCCTTTTTTTATAGATCGTGATGCTTGTTGAGGAAAGAGCGGAAGAGGAAAGAGCAAGCGTTAAAGCTTCACAAAAATTACAAAAATAATTACTATTATAATAATAGAGCAGAGAAAAGAAAAAACAACAAAAAATTAATCATAAGTCATCAAAATAAAATAATAAATAAGTAGGTAAATAAATAACAGAATAACGAGTAAATTTGAAATATATATGTATACACACATATATATATATATACATACACATAATAAAATAAAATAAAGTAAATAAATAAATGATCTCGGGTCAGTTTCCCTGCAGGACTTCTTTCCCACGTCTGGCTGAGTGAATATTTTTCACAATTCATGTGCGATACATCAGGTTATAGATAGAATAACATACTTTTGGGCCCCCATGCTCTTCATACAGTTGAACTCATGTTGGACTCCTGTTGTGTTCAGGGACTGTTGGACGTTTTGTTCTCTAGTCTGCCAAGTGGTATTTTGGTGCAATTTGTTGTATTTGTTACTCTGGGCCTCCTGCTAAAAGTCTCTGCGTCTTCTTTAGGCGTTTTTGTTTTGTTATGGTTGATTGTCAGAGTGCTACGTTTATTTTGACATATAAAGGATAAATATGATAACAGCCCATTATTGTGCTAAAAACAAGATAAACTGGATTAAAAACAAAAACACCTGAATGAGGTGATCATGTGATACCTGAGTGTTAGTGTTGCGTTGTTGGCTCCTCCAGGTCTCGTCTGTGTGACTGGGACTACTGGTAGTGCTGCTGGTGCTGGGGTGACTGGCGGCTGTGCAGTTGTGAGGTAGAGAGTTCTGCTGCGGGTAAGGCACGTTTCCGTTGCTCGCGCCGCCACCCCCCAGTCCCAGGGTGTGATTCTTGTCCAGGTGTCCCGGCAGCCCCGCTGAGGGACTCGAAGAACAGGATCCGTTGGCTGTGGGCTGGGTGACACACGGGGGCCGGATGGCTGTGTGGTTGAGGGGGGAGGTGCGGTTGAGGCCTGCGGCGTGGAGCGAGGGCTCAGCCAAAGGACCGTTGGGAAGGCTGGGCCGCGGCTGACCGCCTGCTGCTGCCTGCTGCCTCATCTAACACAGAGAAGGGAGGAGGAACGATTAAAACACAATTTACACCTTCTTACACTGCAGATAAACTCCGCTCATTCTTACACACGGGTGCGTTTGTGTACCTGCTGCTGATGCTGCTGCATGAGAGAGAACTGGTTCTCCAGCTGCTCCAGCATCTGCACCTGGGGGGGCTTGAGGTTTGCTCGGTTGCTCCTCAGGTGTTCCAGGTGCTGCATGTTACACAATAAAGTTACATTCATCAAGAAGCTCACAAACATCTTATTTGAAAGTACAGCTGAGAGTTGGGCCAAAGTCCAAAGAGACTGAGAAGCATCTTTTGTGATGTTATAACTGCTGGTTTTTGGTGAGACAGACTTAAACTGCCTCAGGACCAGGTCTGGGTATCAATTCTTGCAATTTAAAACTGCTTCTAAAGAGATTTGTGGATTCGTTAAGGTTTGTGAATTTCAGTTACACTTTTCAGTTCCTTATAGCAAACTAAATCTCTCCAAAGTAAGAAGTCCACAGACGCCAAACTTGCCTGCCAGACTAATAAAACAGTATACATATGTGAGATGAGGGTCATGGCAGAATTGCAAGTCTGGCCAAACTTAAGGAGACGCAGCAAAGTTTTCATGGGTGAAATGTGTTTGTCACTGAGGGAGGATTTATTTCCTTAACAATATCTAACTTTTTTCTTTAAATGAATCCGAGCTAATAAAGGAGGAGTGTTGAATGGGTCGGTATGAGATCGTGATGGTATGACAACCTTGAGAAGACACATTTTTCTGATCGGAAAAGGAAGAAGCGAGCAGCAATAAAATCGTCTTAAATCGGACAGCAGAGTTTCTGTTCAAAATAGAGGGCATGTTTTCGCAGAATGGCAAATGAGCTCAGTCCAACAAGTTAATAATGACATTCAGAATAAGCAGCCTTTTCAGAATAATGTGCAAGATTATCATTTTTTCATAAAGTTGAACTTCATTTAACTGATAAAAACTCAAGGACCAGATTTGTTTCTTGTTTCTTGTGTCTGCGTTCACAACAACAATACTTCAGAAAGTGTCCTGCTGGAGGGGACGGACTGATTCTGATAATGGATTGATTCATGGAGCAAATTCTCAATAAACACATCAGACTCCAGTATGAAGACTTTCTGCACATGACATTTGAGGCGTTTCCTACCTGAAGCTTTTGTGGCGTTAAATACCAGCTGGGGATCTGCTGCTGATTCGGGTTGTTTACCCACGAGTCTGCGGCACCCTGTGAGAGAGAGAGAGAGAGAGAGAGAGAGAGAGAGAGAGAGTCTGTGTTTTTCACGGATCTAATCACCTTTATTATCCGGCGCAGTGATATTTTTAATGCGATTGTTCTTAGCTGTACCTTCGCTGGGCTGGCAGTGCGTTTCTTCTTGGCGGGACTGGCCTGTGGATCTGTGTGGTTGCTGGCGGTCTGACCTGCCTCCCCCTTACAGGCCTGGAAGCACAGACAACGCAGAGGGTGAGGACACCGAATAACAAAATACTGAAACTACTTTTCTTTGAGCTAAGTACAGTACAGTCAAAGTTATCCCTAAAGTGGTGGTTTTATCAGAACTGGAGCAAACACGATGCTACATTTACATGCACAAGGATTTAAAGAATACTCTGATTATTAAATGATGGTCATTGTTTTCACCTTAATCTAACTGAGAGGGTTTGATTAAGGTGATAATCAGAGGGGTCATGCTGTGATCCAGATGTATGAATGAGTCATGCAAACTAATGTTGCATTGGTGAAGGGCTTTTTGGGCGTGCAAACAACATATTCAGAGGCTGATCAATCATGAAACTAAAATTCTTAAATGTTCGGTGAAAAATATGTTCTCATATTTGATTCGTTGTTGAGGATCGTCTCCAAGCTAATGAGGTTTAGGAACAACATATGCTGACATCCAGACACTGACTTTATCAGGGAAGACAATGAAAAACCACATTTAGCAGGGATTACAACAGCATGGCTCTGAAGTAGAAGAGTCCTGCTGGGAAACTGGTCTGCCTGCAGTCCTGACTTGTAACCAGTTAAAAACATTTGGAGCATCATGACACAAAATCTAGGACAAAGGAGACCCTGAGCTGTTAAGCAGCTGAAAACCTCTATGGGACAACAGAAACTGGTCTCCTGGGCTCACTGACATTTATTGAGTGTTGGTAAAAGAAGAGCTGATGACACATAGAGGGGAAACATGACCCTGAAACTATTTTTTTAGAAATATGTTACTGATATCACATCTAAAATGAGCAGAGATTTGTCAGTTACAGCATTGAGTATTTTTTCTTTGCACTATTTTCAACTGTAAATAGATTTTAAATGACTTTTAAACCACCATATTCTGTTTTAACGAACGTTTCAACCAGTATCCCAACTAGTTTGGAGTGAGAGTTTCCCCGGTTCTCTGTTTAGTAATGTATGGAGGGGAAAGTGAGCAAGTGAAGTTTCTGTAGCAGGCAGAGGATGATGTTGGAGTGAAAATCTATTATAGAAAAAAATCCATGCTAATAAAAAAAGAATTGCAAATTAAAAGTGCTGAAAAAAAACTGATGTGATGATGATGGAGAGTATTTATTTACCTCTAAGCTGTATGATTTGTCTCTTATCTTTAAAACTATTGTTTCAGGTTTTTAAATATATAACTCAAATACACGGCACAAAAATATAAAGAGGGGAAGGTTTCAGGTCAAACTATTACACATGCATTGTGATATACTGCATTAATTCAGCAAGCATTTCCTGCCTTGCAGTTTGCCAAATATGCTATAGACTTAGGCTTTATGTTTGTACATTTAAGATTAGAGTGACGGGACAAATAACATCTCTTGAAACTCTACAAAATGTTTCTTCCACTCGAGCGGCACTGACAAGGTCAATTATGCTTTCTACTAGCAAACAATACAGGCCTTACTCTGATTCTTCTAACTTTAACATCATGATCTTTCAGAGCTCAGATGCAAACCAGAATTTGAGATACATCAATTACCAAGAAGGAAATCAACCTGACAGGATCACAGCGATGCTTCAGCTTTCACAACCCTCTTAAATTTAATTGCTCAGTAATATCTCAGAGGCAGGAGTCTGCGGTAGGAGCTGGGTCTCACCTGCTGTGTCTGTGCTGTGTTCAGGGCCCCCTGCCTGGACGTGAGCTCAGCAGGAATGGGAAGGCTCCACGCCTCCTCAATACTAGGAAGCATTTTACTCTTATTCTGCAGACTACCTGGCTGCAGGTTACACAACTGAGCCTAGGAGAAACCGTGTGAGACACAAACTTTAGAGAGGTGCCACAGAGACGACATACAGGTGGTGTTTCTTAGGTTTACAGAGTATAATAGGAAATGTTTAATGCCATGAAGGAATGCTTTACAGGTACGAGTGAGGAAAATGTCTTTAAACACGTTAATATGAATCGTTATTCATATCTCAGTGCTCGTAAATCAAAATGATAGAAAGCTCGTTTGAAAAAGCTTTGGCATCAAACACAGCACTTTGATACACAAACACGAAAATACTCCACGATATCAAACAAACAGGCTGGACCCTGAGGGAGGGCTGAACCTACCTGCAGCAGTTTGATGCGCTGTGTGAGCGCCGCCGTGTTGAGGCAGGCCTTGCTGCGTGTAGCGTTGATGTAGCACTTGATGGCGTCGTGCGGCTGCCCGCAGGACTCGTACAGGGTTCCCAGGTCCATCCAGGCGGCGGCGTGGCTGTGGTCCAGCTGAACGGCACAGATGTAGGCCTGCAGGGCGTCCATAGGCTGGTTCTGCTGCTGGTAGAGAACCCTGAGGGCAGAGGGAGAGAAGAGGAGGAGGTTAGGCTTTGAGCATGCTCCAGGATTTAGGTCTTTATCTTATCTGAGCCATCCCACTGACTCCTGAGGGACAGACCCAGCCCTCTAGTCTCCATACGTTTATCTATCTATAGATCCTATCTCAATCCCCTCCCTCTGCCTGTGTCCTCTGTCACATTTCCCTCTTTGAATCATCATGAGAGTTTTTTTTAGAGCAGATGATGAACCATTTCATCCAGTTTAAACTGATTTCAGTTAAGGCCTCTGCCTCCTTCAGTATGAAAGTCGAGCTCTTCTGTTCTTACCCTATGGAGCACCAGGTGTCAGCACTGGCCTCCGACTTGTCGATGGACTGACGGTAAGAGATGAAGGCATCCTGCACCTTCCCGATACTGGAGTAGCACCTGGAGGAATGAGAAGGAGACAGAAGAGAAAGAGAAATAAATCACCTGTTTACAAATCAAAATGTTGAAAACACACCTGTGATGAAATATCATGGGATCCATTTTTGGTGAAGCAAAGTCAAACTAGGACTGGGCGATTATATGATCGTGATTGATGATCATGATAACTTTCAGTTCGATCGCGTTGATCAGCTGTGAGCATATTTACTTAATCAAACATGGCTGAAACAACAGCCAATCAGAGTCGAGCTTTTCCTGCTCACTTTTGTAAGTTGCCAGAGAAGTACGACCGAATGTGGAGCTAAACGCAGAGCTAAGGCAGCAAAATAGCTGTCAGCCGTGACCTCCAAAGATGCCATTGTTGAGAAGAAAAGTTATTCAGCGTCGGTTGTGTGGCGGTGGTTTAGATATCTCCAAAGTGACGCTGAGCAATTAAGCCGATGTACAAGGGATGTTGGCAGTCAGTGCCCTCAAAAAACCGGCTACACAACAAATCAGTTTAATCATTTGAAGAAGTACTTCCTGAGTGATTACGTGGAAAGCATGAAAATTGGAGCTAAGTTTGCACAGCCTGTCACTGCTGACGGCATGAGTAGCATTAGCAGTTTAGCCACAACTAGCAGTGCAGCCACCAGACCAAAGCAGCGATCAATCATATCATCTATGTCTACATCAGATGTTTACATTTTAAGGCGTCTTTATTATCTCTGAGGGAGGGATTTGTTTATTTTGGGTCTTGTATACCTGCAAAAACACTTAGGACTGTAAACAAGTTTACTGTATTATTTAGTATTTATCTACGTTTGTTGTACTGTTGAGTTAAGATGGTTTTTGTATTTTTCTAAGTGTCTCTTATTCAATTTGCTTTGTTATTTATTTTGTACGTTAATAAAATGTTGAGCTAATCTTTAGTTCTTAAAACTGGCAGTTAAAAAAAATTGTGATAATAATCGAGATCGGACGATATGACAAAATATATCATGATCATTTTTTCACCAAATCACCCAGGCCAAAGTCAAACCCTAGACTCTAGCCTCACAAACTGGTGCAGTATAAACACTAGCACAGCAAAAAAAAAAAAAAAACAACCTAATATGGACTTTAAAATTCTCACTGAGGTTTAAATATGAATGATTTAACTTACTATCAGAAACCGAAAAGGAGAATTGAAATTCATGTGCCTCATTGAATCTGCGTATCTTATAAATTTGGAGCCTGGTTTCAGTTCTCGACATCAGCCTTCAGAGGTGTGACTGTTGATGAAGAAGAACTAGTGAAGTCACCATGAGCCAAGCCCAGCCAAGCCAACACCTTGAGGGACAGCACGGCCCCTGAGGGAGTGATGTATGCTTTTCTGCTCCGATGCCTGTGTGCACTCAGACGCCTCATTTGCTCTCAGGCGGAAAAAAAACTTCAACGGCCAAGAAAACTGGAGAATTCAAGCACCTGCTGCCACCCGACCTGAGCATTAACCTTCACCGACAACCATCTAATCTATCAATCCAGATGGCTTTAACAAACAGTCTAATCAGCACATCTCAGGCCCCACTAGGTCAGAGGTCAGCCATGCAAATTACTCACTCACTCACTCACATCTTTGTTTGTCTTACCTGCCGAGGAAGTACCAGGACTGGCCAGAGTTTGGGTCTGCTTCTAGAGACTTCTGCAGACACTGGATGGCATAGCTGTCCTTGGTGCCTTTATCCCCAAGTTGCTCCACTGTGTGATGCATCCAGCCTGGAGGAGCAGAAATCAAGAGGAAGAAAGTAAAATTCACCACATAAAGAAACAGAAACAGAGAGAGAGTGAGCAGCTCTTTCTTGAGAATCAAGGAGAGTGGAATGTAAAGAACTCTGATGTGCAAATGGATATGACACATAAACAATCTCCGCAAAGGAGGGGAAGACACAAATGAAAAAGGGGGCGGGGCTTTACTTTGCAAACAAACGCACTTCAAACAGGTGTCACAGTCACATGAGCAAGCATTCACAAAAGCAAACAAAAACTCCCTGCCCTGCAACCTCCTTCCACGCAGTCAAACAAAGATGTGATGGGTGATTGCCAACAAACACACTCCCTCTGCTCCTCTCCTCTCCACCCGTGTGACGCTCAACAGGACACGATGGCAACCTCAGCAGGCTGGACTGAAGAAAGTTTTTACTACCGGTGAGCCATGAACATCACAGCTTCAACTTTAAGGTTTTTCTTTTGACAAAAAAATCATCTAAACTGTTCTGAAAACATCAACAATGCAAAAATCAGAAGTAGACAAACTTTATATTTTGTCATTTGTACAGCTGCGACTGAAGATGTCTCGTTCTTGTCAGTCATTTCAGTCCTGAAAAAAGCTCTAAATGAACTCTGAACACCTGCAGAGGTTTACTGAGCCTTCATTCTCTCTCTGGTTCAGTCCTCACAACCACAGTCCTGAGGAAGACTAATGATATGAGAGTTTTCCAGAAGACAAGCACTGACACCACAGAAGATTACTGCTGAAAAGGCCGGCTGTTCACAGAAAACAGATTCATGGAAAGTTGACTGAAGGCAAATGAGATGGAGGAGAAGGTGACCAAACAGCAGGGATGAGCGCAGCATTGAGAGGACTGTCACACAAAGCAGATTCAAGAACTTAAGGGAGCTTCACAAGGAGGAGCAGACTGAGGCTGGAGTCAGAGCATCAAGAGTGACTACACAACTATAAGTGTTGTGTTCTTGCTGTCAAGACACTCCTGAACCAGAGAGACAACCTCATAAGAGTCCAATCTGGGCTGAGAAGAAAAAGAACCGGACTACTGCTCAGTGGTCTAAAGTCCTGTTTTCAAAAGACAGTTTTACGTCTCATATGGAGATCAAGGTCCCAGATTCTGGAGGAAGATCAGAATCCAGTCCAGTATAAAGTTTCCACAGCCTGTGATAATTTGGGCACCATGTCATCTGGTGCAGTTGGTCTAAATCCAGAGTCAATGCAGTCTACCAGAGGGTTTGAGAGACCTTCATGCTTCAATCTGCTTAATGGAGATACAGATTTCCCTTTCCAGCAGGACCTGCCCACAGCACCAAAACTACCAGAAACTAGCTTACTAACCAAGGTCTCACTGTGCTTGATTGGCCAGCCAACTGGCCAGACCAGACCTGAACCCCATGGAGGATATCTGGGGTATCATCATGAGGAAGATGAGAGACACTAGAGCAACAGTACAGACAAGATGAAGGAGCTTCATAACATCACAGGAGAGATGATTTATGCAAAAGGAGCCCTGACCATGTACTGAGTTCATACATGAACATCATTTTTCAGATGTTCATAAATATTTATCATCAAGATTCAAATAAAAGCAGTCTTAACATATCTCTGTGAAAATATTTCCATATAGTCATGTATAAAATATTCAATGCAACCTTCTTTGGCTGATAACTTCATAAGCAGAAATGTAAATATCTGCAGATACTATAAATTCACTTTTAAGCTTTTCTCTAGCGACACCTTAACTATACTAGTAACACTGTGCATCCCTTATCATACAAATAAGAAGACTGAGCACAACTCTATTATCCAGACAAACTCAGGACTCAGTATCAGCGGACACTCAAAGTTGAAGCAGCTGGGTCTGGATCAAGACATCAACTGAGGTGTTGAAGCAGCTCTGTGCACAAGTGTGCAGCCACATGCCAAACTTCTCTCCATGCTTTTTACACCTTTAAGCTCACACTGTTTTTAACAAGTGTTGACATTAAACTGCACTAAAGGTCCACTGAAAGCCACCAATAAGTAATTTTTTTGTAATTTTTGTTGGAAGAAAACTTAAAATTTTTGGGGAAAAAATATTGATTAATTGTTTCAACTCTCTCTTTTTACTCTTCTTAATTTATCCAGACCTGCATTAACTAAACTGCACCTCCTTATTTTTACATACTGTGCAGGAACCGTGCACACACACCCATCCACACAACAGTTTTGCATTTGAGTGCACGTGCATGTCTTCTCTGTCAGTGGGGGGAGGGGATGGAGAGAAAATAGCGCTCTGCCGCTGCACACACTCACACTGGTACTTTAAAAATCACAGAGCATATTAAACAACTTGCAATAAATTCTGCTGCAACTCCTGGAAACACAAAGCAAAATGCAACACCGTCCCGAACAGTATCCATGAAAAGAGCTTGATGGTTGTGCAAAGAGGTGCATCGTGGAAAATGTTAAAGAGACAGGACTCAGTATAGAGAGGGACACTCACCCAGTTGTTGCAGAGTGGTGGCCTTCACCTGTGCAGGAAGATTTTCAGTCTGCAGCAGACTTTCATACGCTTCTTTCGCCGCTCTGTATTTCTTCTGAGGACGAGAGAAGGAGACAGAGGGGTTGTTTCAGCCAGACAGGAGGGTCACTGTGTTTTATGGTTACAACTGGCACACACAAAGAGTCCTAAGACCTCCTCACACTCGTAATGACCGGCCAGTCCCAGAGACAGACAGACACACAAGGGGGAGGGTCAGCATGGAGGAGGACAGGCCAGACTCAACACGTCTGGCAGCACCGAGTGTGTTTCTGTGCGTGACTGTGCGTGTGTGTGTGTGTGTGTGTGTGTGTGTGTGTGTGTGTGCATGTGACCGCTGCACTGCACTCTTTGTGTTTTTAGGAAACCTGAGCTCCGCGGTCTGAGGTGAGTCTGCTGTTTGTTTTCACCCTGCGACCTTATTGACCTTGAGTCTGAACCCGTTTCTGGAGGTAAAATATTCCCTTATCAGCTCAATCGCATGCTGACCCGCCCCTTTAAAACTCCTCACACACACACACACAAACGCACATCTGCACAGTCTGGTCGGAGGCTCTTCCTGTCTGCAGACAATAAAGACACCTCCGGGTAAACACCGACACTCAGGGCACATAAATGAGAGAAGCTCTAAGTGGGTCTTTCCTGCTCAGACTGATGATGGTCCTTGAGGCGGACGACAAAATACTGACACGACAAAAAATCAGGGAAATCAATCTCACTCTCCAAATTAATTCAAAGCTGCCCACTCACACCCAGAATTCACCAAAGGAGACTTTTGTGAAGAAATGCAACTAATTATACAGAAACTTCTAAACAAAACCCATGAAACAAGACTTTTAGTCTGAAACTATCTGAACATGCATCACGCTAAAAATGGTCCCATGCACAAACTGTCTGCAACACATCACAGCAATAAACCCTCTGCTCTCAGCCGTTTTGTGTTTCTGTAACTGCACATCTCCATTTCACAGCTCTATCAACATACTGCTAACATTTCGAAGTTTCCATATATAAAAATATATATGATATTAATTCTCAAGTCAAGATAGCATGATGATCTAATCAGGCTAAAAGAGAGTCAGATTTATGACTTCAAAACCAACAGGTCTGATTTTCTCTTCACATTTGACTCCTTAATGCATCCCTCTACCTTTTATCAATGCGTGGATCTTGTTGACAGATCACACAATACATACTGCCAGTGTGAGCTGAACATCTCACATAGTAAAAGCCTTAAGAGGAGAAGGCTGATTTCTCTGGAAGCTACAAAAAGATCCAGGGTGCTCAGCAAGGCTGTAGATTTAACACCCCCGAAGCATTCCCTGACATGAATTGAAGATAAATACAAAACTAAGTTGATCAAATAAAATCAAAGTAGAAAAGACAACATCCAGTTTAACATCACAAGATCGGTTATTTTGGTGCCTTTCCTCAACAGTGGAATCCCTGATAACAGCTTGCATGCCCTACTGACTGAACTGGACCAGACTTCTTTCATTAGAGAATAAAATCTCTGATAGGTTGTTTAGAAATCGTTGTTGGGTTCCCTTTATTAACTTCAAATTAAAACAGCATTGTTAAGAGGACAACTGACATTGTTCTACCTGAGTTGTTTTTTTTTTTGTTTACCCAGTAACAAATGATCGTGATGGAGTTGATTCAACTTTTATGAACATCAATGATCGGAAGAAAAATGAGAATGTGTCGCTCACCTGGATCTCATACAAATGAGCGATGTGGAACTGGACTGTGGAAACAAAGCAGAGACTTGTATTAATACAGCACAGGAATTATTACTGTGTTCAGACTGTAAACTGTATATAGCACTGATTGAAAAAGTGGGGGAGGGGGTGTAAATGCACATGCACATGTAATATGAAATCGCCATGTGCAGTCTCCAAGGCAACCGTGGTCTCATTCAGAGTCAGCAGGGAGACGGCAGCAAGAGGGGAAGAGCTGCTCTGTAGAAATATTCCTCTGGCCTTTTAATATGTGCTATCTGTCACTGACAGGCTGCTCCATCTAATCTAATATTGCATTACACAGCAGCAGCAGTACAGGGCCTCTGCTTACTCGAACTTTGATCATAATTTTACTTACTTTCAGCTTTGGACAAAGTGCAGAGGTTGGAGTCGATCAAAGCCAGCTGAAAATGCTGCAGAGAAAACAGAAAATAACATGAAGAAAAATCTGAATTAAGATGGACTTTTACATGATAAATGTCAATGTACTCATCTTTATCTCTTCTGTTAATAATCTGAATTCATAATGCTCTGGATTTCTTAAAGCTTGTAACCCCAGGATGGCCTCAGTGGACAGTTATGATTCTGTTTGAATGGATCTGAAATAAAAACCCAATTCACCAGAAGCTTATTTCGTCCTTCAAAAGGTAGGTAAGGCTTTCATCTTTATAAGGCGAAAGGTAATGAGTTTACACTGTAATGTCTTTACGCTACTGTACATGCAGTAGAACGCCAGCAGACAGCTTATTAACATCTGCTCAATTTCAGAGAAGGAACTTGAATCGCTAAAGATGTCCCTCTCCACACCACAGATTGCCACACAGGGATTTAAAATCTCCGCTTCGAATGTTAGGTCTTGGTGTTGGACATGCTCTGCTAATGCTGTCTCTCTCCGCTCTATCTCCCCTTCAGTCTCGCCAACAACACTGTCTGATTGACTCAACGCCACAGAGCTGTGCAAGTGTACCTCATAAACTTTTACCTCCTCTATTAGATGCTGAAACTTCAATTTTTAGTTACAAACCCAGTTCAGGCTTTTGATTTTGATTAGAACCCAGCTTCCTACAACACATTAACACAGTTCTTAATCCAGGTCAAAGCCTGACGTGTAAATTTGGGGGTCAGAACTTTGAGGCAAGTTTCAATCTGTTTGAGACGCACACATAGAGGAAAGAAAATCAAGCCCAACTGAGGACGTGTAAATCAGGTCTTTAGAGCGTATCTGATGTGGAACAGTCAGGACAATAACTTCTCATTTTTCAGTTTTGCTGGGTGACACGACCAGCGCTCTATGGCTGGACTTCATCTCATTGGCGACAGACCTATTCTCGCAGAATCTGGCTCACAGGCATTAGTGCATTTAGACACTATCAAACATAAAAACAATGAGCATCATTCAGTTTTAAAGCAAGTGGTGATGAAAAGTATTGAGATGTTGTAAATTTTACAGCCTTGGTTTAACACCCCGGCAACTGCAGGTACTCACAATCGTGCAGCAGATCACTGTGTGAATCAATGAATTACGGAGCCCATAGAGGCAGAAGCATAAACCTTTACCTCAAAGTTTGACAGATTTTAGAGATGGTACAAGACTTGAAATCACCTTTTCACTTTGCTCATGTAAAAAGGAGAATCCCAAAATCTTTAGGACTGTTATGAAACCATTCATTTTTCCCTTTCCTGAATCATTTGTATAATCTGTAAGATGTGTTTATTTGGCTAAATTTGATGTCAAACTAATGTTTTGGGGATCATTTGTGTACGGTCTATTGACTTGCACAGGTGATTGGCTCAGGCTGTCAATACCTGACAACAAGCAAATAGCACCCCTGACTGTGCCAGAAGAGCATTTCTGCTGCAGAGTTTTTTAAGGTCAAAGAACCCCGAGAGAAGTTCTTGTTCTTCGCTCTTTGGTCTGCTGCATTAAAACTCCATCAAACCATGAATGAACCTGCTGACCGCAACACCAGGCCACTGATAACCAGAGTGAGAGGGGCTGAACCGCGATGTCCCTGTTCCTGAAACACACATCCTGCTTCCTCCTTTATAACCAGGGAACCAAGTTTAAAATGCATCCCCACACCTTCATCTGAGCTGAAGACTGTTAATGTGTGAGGAAGATGTCTGCAGAGCCTCGTCGAGGCGTGGCTCAATACCGGCTAATATCTCATCAGGGTCATTGAACTGATTAGTGCAGGAGTGCTTCACACAGCTGCAGAGAGGACGTTTCTCTTGTTCTTTATTGACCCCTTAGGGCTTCCATACACCTCTGTAACATCCCTCAAATGCTGACATGGTGAGCCACAATGGTGATAGCGTTTGACTGTAATGAAGACACGAGCAGAGTCAAAAATATGCAGAGAAGACACATGATGCCGCTGGAAGGGTGAGAATATTGCAATCCAGTGAGGGTATTCTGCACAGGCAGCGCTCAGGCATCTATAGGTGGCTTCAAGGTGATAAGTAGTATTGCACCACGCTACAGCTGCATGCATTTAAAAAAAAAGGAGTCGGCAGCTCCTCTTATCTGGGTCAGAAAAAAACGGCATGTGAAATCCTGCTGAAACCAGGAAAATGAAGCGCGCACACACACACACAGAGTCAGAACAGGCTGTTCTGCTGCTGCTCTGGTGGAGAATTTCTCAGCGGAAGAAGAGGAAAAAATATCAGTTTCTGCCATCTGGAGCTTTAGGATTTAAAAAAAAAAAAAAAAAAAAAAAGCTGCAACCACAAACACTTAAAGCAGACGAGCAGCCTTGCAGCAGCCGGTCAATGTCAGACAGATAAAAATCAAGAAGCGACCAGCTGGATGTGTCTCTGTGTGGTTCACCCAGGGGCCGCCGGAGCGTCACACACTCACACGTGCGCCCACACACACACATACACACACACACGCACCGAGCTCAGAATAAACTCCTTTAAAGCCGAGCTATCAGACACACTCATCAGGAGCGTAATGTTAAGAGAATTCATGTGTTACCTAGACGGCTGACACTCCTCTTAGAAGCCCTCTGCATCCTCCTGAAGGTCTCTCCCTCCGTCTCCTTCCCTTCCTTCTCTTTCACACTTGCTCCTCCAACCAGGCAGATAATGCAGCACGATTGTCAGCTCGGTATTCCACCTCCCTCTCCCGCATGTCTCGCCTTCCTCTCTTCCTCTCCCTCTCTCTCTCTCTCTCCGTCTCTATGCTATCATTCTTACTCTCGCTCTCTCTATCTACCCCCTCCTTCCCCCCTCTCCTCCCTTCTCCTCTCTCTTCTCCTGGTGTCACTGATTACTATTCAGCAGACGGCTGCAGTGGAGAGTGCAGAGAGATGACACACAATACCTCAAAGCAGGAAAACACACACACACACACACACACACACACACACACACACACACACACACACACACACACACACACACACACACACACACACTGCACCTCTCCCTGGCTCTACAGAGACAGACAACTTCTCACCTTACAAATAAAAGCGTCTCAGTCCTAGATTTCTCTGCAGCTACGAGGAGTCTGTTTGGTGGAGAGTCTTTTCATGTAGTGGGTTCAGAGAAAAAATTCATATAGAAAGATAAATAATAAAGTAGATGTGAAAATAAATGCAGACCCTGGCTCCAACCAAGCCTCTATCACTTGGTTGTTATGCCGAGCAACAACACAATCGAGGGGTTGCCGTTTTGGGATTGCGTTAAAATCAACATCTTCAACTTCTGCGGCTCATCTCCAAATTCAACGTGTGAATAACTGGAAGGCCCGTTTAATACCTATTCAAACTCATTAAACTGCAGTTTGAAACTGCCATTAAATGTGGTTTGGTGTGATTTCTTCACAGTATGAGAAGGGCCATTTTTTTTCCTTGAAAAATTGGTCTGGAGCTGCAAATCTTTCAGTGACAGTGAGGAAGCCTTGAAAATCTCAGTCTGAGGACATGATAGATCTTAATGAAGATCCAGGTGTTCACATTTGACCACACTGCAGTAGTAAAAAAAAAGATAATAGAGATAGATTACTTAACCGCCTGCCATGTTGCCTTGTTTTGTTCCGTACGATGAATGCGGCACACCCTCTATTTCTTCCTTTACGGAAAAGCGTGGGCTCTGACCCTCCCCTCCATCAAAGTTCAGGAGGATGAGGAAGTTGGGATGCTGCTCAGTGTATAGTGAACTGCTTTATTTTCACTGTGTTGTGCTGCGGCAGCATGAGTGATCATGCAGCCACAGGTGGAGAGAGGAGGGCAGGGAGAGGAGCAGAAGGAAGAGCCGGGTGGAAAGGATGAGCAGGATGTGAGAGGGTGAGGCGATCACAGCCAAGCAAGATCACGACTGTCCAGCTTAATAAGTGACATGGGAGTGTGTTGTGTTGAAATTAAGGCTGAGGTTTTGAGGTTATCGATTTTGCGAAATGAGAGACACACTTCTTATAGTAATTTTGCCCCTCATTAAACAACAAATATGATATTATTATGGACTGCTTCTACGGCAAACCCCCAGTCTCTGTACCCTGACCAGGAAAGTGCATGTCTCCATCACTTGATCCCTCTCAATCTCTTTTTCTATCCGCCCTGCTCCAAGGGAATAAAGAGGAAGCTCTGTGAAACCTGCGTGCTTCATTTCAATCTCCACATCCTCTTCCTCCGCACATCCATCATCATCATCCTCTGCAGCTCTTTCTTAAATTTCCTGTGTTCCCCCCCCTCTCCCATCTCTCTTTCTTCTACCTTTATTCAGTCCCTGCTGCTCCTTCAGACATTTACCGGCCCCTCCCTGTGGATAACTGGGGCAGTCATGTGTGTGAGGTGTGTGTTTGTGTGTGTGATATTCTGGCAGAGAGCCAGTACGGGGAAGGGAGGGGTGCAGCCGAGAGTGAGGGAGGACGTGCAGCACGTGCAGCCTGCTGAGCTGCAGGCTCCACCAGCAAGAACCAAGACATCAAGATGTGCATGAAAGGATGTGATCTCATTCAAACTCTAAATTTAAAGATAAAATAGCTTAAAAAAAACATCCTTTCAAGACTGTTTGTTGAAACGGACTAAAATCATCTAAATCTAAGCTACAAACTCCTCTAAATAAGCGGGGAATCAGCTCTGAGGTTAAATGTACAGCAATGTTCCGCAAGTTTGCCAGTGCATTTGACATACATGCTAAAACCTCCCGTGACATAACGTCTGGGGCAGCACAAAGCCCAGGATCAGGTCTCAGTCTGGCCCTAAAGGGAACCAGGACTGTCAGACAACAACAGATCCATAGGCTCCAGTCAGAGAGCCCTTCATTACAGTCTGAACATGAAGGCTCGCAGGTGTCGGGAGACAGGAGACAGGCTTTAGCACAGACAGAGCAGACAGACGATCCAGCAGCCTTTGTTAATCTGAGGACTGGGGAGGTCACGTCTGCTGTGTGACTGCACATCAGGAGTACAATACCGAGCAGCATAAAGGAAAAATGACCCCACAGAGTCCATGTTTCTGACGCTTACAGGATGATCAGACCCTAACCCTAACCAATCTCTGTTAGCAGCTTTAAAGTTACAGTAGAAATATCTCAGGTGTGACAGTTTAGGGGTGCAACACTACATTGAATTACTACAGAATACAATCGGTATCATAATACGTACTTAACTGAGGTACACAAAAACTGATGTGATGCAATAAGATTCAATGGCGCGAAATACATGTATCTGTACTTTGTTGGTTAAAATCTGAGTGCGTTAAGATAAATACATGGAAATCCGGTTTTGTGCAGTTAGAGTTATGAATACCTGGAAATCCCCAATACTGCAGCTAGGGTTAAAATAAAACTGGGATATCATGGTAAGTGTAGTTAACGTTAATATCTTTCTATCTTTCTAATATCTCTTTAATATCACGTGCTGCTGTCTGCTCACTGGAACTCACTTGAAAGGGTGATCAGTAACTTGTTTATACCCTTATATCCTTAAAAATCGTTATTTTAAATTTTCTGGAGATATTTTGATATAATTTTTGGCCACATTTTCCTGCTACTTTTACACTCTTCTAAAGATACTAATGCTTTGTTTACAGCAAATACTCTAATCACATTTTATTTTCACTCCTCCAAATATGTCTGATACTAGTCGTATTGCTACTCCCATTATTTGAGTGACATTTTCTGATTTCCAAAAGTTGAAATGATTTCCATTCCCCTCTTTTCTGAAACTAAAAGGGCCAAACGGCCATCTTCTAAAGCTTAAGCACAGCAAAAACAAGCCTAAGAAAGGTGATGATGTTACAAGCATTTTTGCTGCAATGAGCAAAAAACACTACCAGAGGTTTGATCCAAATTTCCCGCAATTTGTACACATTTCACAATCAAGTTGTTCTCCATTAAAAACTACTAAACAGCAGCCCTAATATCTCTCTTTCAACGCAACTAAGAACATTTTCTTTATTTAAGCTTTAGAAGGACATGGAAGTTATGATCTGGTATTATTTCTGATATATTAGATGTAAAAATGTTATAGGTTTATACTGACAGGATATAAAACAGTGTCACTTAATTGTCTAGATAAAATTCATAGTGGAGCAAACTGACATTCAGGCTTACCTTTAAACTCGACTCGTAGTCTGTGTTGACTTTGAACATAAGTCCCAGTCTCAGGTGAATCTCTTTAGCTCTTGAGAAACCGGGGTCGATGTAAAGCACCTCCTGGAACGCCTTGATTGCCCTGGAAAAACAGACACAAAGTACACTTAACAAGATTCTGTTAACCAGCTGAAATCGGAGGTGTTTCACAAACAGTCCCTGGGATGGGATGTACTGACTGACTGACAGGTAAAAACAGATCAACTCTGTCCTCATTGAATAAGTTTGATGTATCCACTCTTTCTCCTCTATCTGTGCATACTCATATTTAAGTCTCTCTTCAAGTCTCAAAATCTCTTGTGCTTTTCAGTCTAGACACCTGCTGTAGATCCTACTCAAACCCAGCTGTTGAATCTGTGCAGCTTACTTTTATGAGACTGCACATTCTCGGTCTAATGGTGAAGCCACATACTTTCAGTGTGGGTATTTTTGTACAGGAATCTCCTAGCCCTCTTTCACCTTCATCTTTGCCTGGATGGGTTATTTGTATAAGGAAATCTAATCATGAGCTTTTGCATTAACACCCGCACTGAATGGGGTTGTCGTTATTTTAATTATGTCTGAACTGTGGGCGTGTCTAAGTACGCAAATAAAGTAGATGAGGCTGGCAGCAGCGTGGTCCTCATGTGTGGGGAACTACTTGTTTTAATTAAAAGTGAACACAATGCGTGAATGTAGCATCATTATAGGGCAGACTCTAACTGGACTAGTTTAGGTTTGCCTGTCTGATGGATCCAGATCCCTGAGATCTCGTTTCGGGGATTTTAAGGTGATGAGCTTATAACAATCTTATGATGTGCTTAAAAGTTTAACAGGAAGATTTGACATCGTGTTCCCTGACGACAAGCTGTCACCTCTTTTCAGTCCACAGCTATGATGCTACATGTTAAGATAACTCAAACATATCACGCTGGGATTTAGTCGCCATGGTTTCCTTTAAACAAATAGGGAGGGAGCACAGCAGGACAAGGCAGTGGCCATAGACATCTAACTACAGACTTATGTTTTGAAACTACAGCATAGGTCCGGCACAGACACATAGACCAGGCTTTAGAGTTTTACAGTAACTTCACAGCAGGTACAAACATAAAGATCTTTGTCAGGTCAAAATAGTTTTGGGTGGTATGACGGTATATACCATGTGACAGAATAAAAGTGTCTATAAGTAGGAATTTTGCTATGCTGTTTATACCAGAGAGAGAGAGACGATGTCTGCTGCATCTCTCTGAGTCAGTGTGTAGTTGTCTGAAATCGCTAACAGAAGAAGCCAGAGCGCATCCGTTTGGGTGCGTTTCCGTGAATTCACCAGTGTGTCGTGCAGAGTTTGTTCGCTCACTTTGATTGGTAAGGTTTGGATGCGCTCCCTATAATCACCAGCGTGTCCAGCAGACTGCTCTGCATAGTTTCAATGAAGAAGAAACAGTGTCACTGGTGGTGGTCGTGGCGGACACGGAGATTAGTGGCAGTACCGAGCAAACGGGGGCAGCCCGACCCACCCAACATGAAGAAGAGGAGGAGGAATGCAAGTCGCGACATGGGTTGTTTGGAGATTCTTCAGATTTAGAAAAGCCGACAATGATCAAAAAACTATACTATGTTAAGAGTGTTGTTGCTGGAGGAGGAAACACCAGCAACCTCTTCCACCACCTAAAGATAAAATACACCAAGGGAGCCAAAAGATGCATGACGCACCTGCTGCACCAAAAACTAAAACTGCAGCAGCTTCTCCCGTACAAAAGAGCTTGGCAGAGACTTTCACCAAAGGTATGCCAGATTAGTCTGGCATTTTTTTTGCATTTGTATACAAATCCAAGTTTGAAAATACAAGGAAAATGAACAAATGCGGCAGTATGGTTATTTTAAAGCCATTAATTGAATTTACAGGAGGAAATACCATACCGTGATTTTTACAGTTACCGTGATATGAAATTACTCATTTTGTTCATACCGCCCAACACTAGGTCAAAACCATAGACTGTATAAAGAATGGACAGAGTCTGCCTCCTCATTGGGTGAAGCCACCCCGAGACACTCAAACTTTAGAAATTTATTCCACAGAACATAAATTTTTCTCCCCCCAGCTTGTGATGTTGACATGTAGTTACAGTAAGACTGGTTTGTGCTCAAGTCCTATTTTTTCTGTGAAGCTCAGTTTTTAAAAGTTATTATGGGGTTCATGTTTTCTATGATTGACACCTGATACAGCCTATTGGCGTTCAGGGATTGCGTAGCTCTCCCGGGGGATACGCTGTTTAAGCCGAGCGTCATCACAGCGACTCTCGACGACTGCGCGCCCGAATGCGCGCATAGCTACTGCGCAATGCTGGTTTCAGGAAATGAAGAAATATCCTGGAAATACCGAGAGCTTTTTGGCTTCAAATCCATATACAGGCAGAAGGCAGAACCAAGTTGTCCATAGTATATACAGTCTATGGTCAAAACACTGTTGAACAACACTGTGCACATGGGAAGTGACCGTCTCTATACTCAGCTGCAGAAAACAGAGTCATCAGGCCTAACATGTAGCTGACATTTAAAACTGTTTGGAAAAACTCTCTTGGAAACCGCTGGCATTTGCGTGTTTTAGTCAAAGAAAAAGCTCCATGATAACATTGAAGGCAGAGATAGCAGATATTAACCAATAGTTACAATGGTAATTCTGTGTCTTTAGCATTTATTGGGTTACCGTCCTTATGGATGGCGCGTACTGTGGAAAAGATCTCAAACACTTAAGCGCCGCTGTCATGTTAGCAATAATAACATTAATCTTCACCTCCCCAAACAGTTTAAAAATAAACCTGAGTCTACAGAGACAAGAGCCCATCGAACCCTGAAACAAGCACCAGTTTCCATTTGAACCCACTCACTGTGTGGCAACGACAACAATGGCAACTGCCTGTCAGCACGAAGCCCCTCTCTCCTGTTTGAAGCAGCAGAGCTCTGAGCTCACTGCAGACAGGGTGCCCCGCACACACACTCCAACACACACACACACACTCAGTGAACTCAATGCCCCTGTTCCCTCCTCCCTGTCTCCCTGCCTCTTCCTCCTCGTTTATCTGGTCCCTCCTCCCTCTCCCCCTCCTCTCGCTGGCAGAATCCACAGCGAAGCTCGGAGAGAGTGGGATCGGGAGTGACACACAGCGTAAGGCGGTCTGCAGCCGAACGATGAACAAAAAAATACTCTCCTCTTACATAACTTCATCTGACAGGGAAAGGGTGCACGTTTAGCCTTCAAAATCAGCCTGTTTACTGTAAAACTTTGAGATTTAATATCCTCAGTGCTTCAATTTCCAAAATAATTCTAACCTAGTATTTGTCCTTTAGGAGGAGGATGGATTTGGGATGGATTTTCTAACCATGAGACAAACAAATACTCAGTTTTAATGCTTCGATCTTGTGTGTGAGCAAGCTGGATATTTTGGCTGCGAGTTCCTTTGCTTTGACAGCTCAGCATTCCTTCAGGCTTTGAGCTCAGGGTGACGTAATCCATCCTCAAGAGCCCGGCATGGACCCCCTCCCCTGCCCTTCCCTCCCCTCCTCCATGAATTCATTCCCAGGCTTTAGAAACGCGGACACAGAAACTTGGCAGTGCAACAAGGTCATGGCCGAGGCGGAGGGGCGGCAACGAGCGACACAGAGGAGTAAAACAGCTCAATTGGAGACGAAACCAATGATGTTTCCAGCTCTGGTTTTTAGTCTAGGAGCCGAACCCTTTACCTGAACTTCCAAACAGCTAATATTGAGTACCCTTCCAAATACAAGGCAACAAAAATGTAGTTTAATCTAGTTTTTTACTATATCCCGGCAGACCTGCATTGATGTGATATGACAGTTATCACTGTGCGGCTTTGATTAAACCACAACAAAAACATGCCTGCTAAATTCACAAATAAAACAAAATTATTATTGCTTCACTTTTTTATGACATATCAATTCATAATGGTCAAAATAGTCTGCAATGTCTTGACCGTTTCAAAACTGAGAAACTGTGACATATATTAAGCACAACAAATGCTGGTTATCTGGATGTATATCTGTACTTCTAATAAAAAGAAAAGTTAAACTGTAAACTTGTTATCCAGGTATACATTTTAAATTAACCCTAACGGCACTATCCAGGATATTCAGGTCTTCACTGGACTAACTGCACTGGTACCAAGAATGGCCAGGTATTCCAGACCCTGACTGCACTATCCTGGATAAACAGCTATTGATTACATGATGTGCACAATCCTGGATATCCAGGTACTCATTAAACTAACAGCACTGTTAAGGTTGGCAGGTGTTCAAATTTACTCTCCGGGATAGCCAGGTATTCATTATCGTAACTGCAGTATCCAGGAAAGTGAGGTATCCATAACCTTCATTTTAATCATTGGGATATCCCAGGATTGATCTTCTTACCTCTACTATCAAGGGTATCGCTTATTGTGAGATCACCTGTGGACTTCCAAGGATAGCTAGTTATTTATAACCCCTAGCTGTAGCTATCAAGGATAACCAGGTATTCGTTGCCAATATCCAGAATACCAAGGAAAGCAAAGTATGATGAAATATAACTGTATCCTCCAGGATCGTCAGATATTCATGACCGTTGTTACAGTATACAGGATATCCAGGTAATCCAGCCAACTCCTTTACAACTCTTTTATCTTCCAGAAAGTTCATTCAAGGACACTTTGGTTCATGCAATGTAATGTATGAAATCAGCCCAGAAAGAAAACAAAAACAGGACGCATTATCAGTCATTAAAAGTATCTAAATGCTGCCATTTTTCTGGGGTAGCTCTTACAACATCTATTGATCCTGGACCAGAGTTTAATTGCTGATCTAGTTATATGAAATCTTTCAGTGCAGAGCTACAGCAACCCTTTCAAATGTTGTCTTTATGAAACAACAATGGAGCATAGCTGGCATGAAATATCGTCCAAAAAGTGGCACTTTAAGCACCAAGCATGATGTTCACACTTTAAGGTTTGTTTTAACCAATTCTTGTGCAATTATGAGTCAAAACTTCTCACACATCCAACACGTACACATAGCCGAAGTCACAGACACCAAACGTTAATGGTGGAAACCAGAAAAAAAGACAATCTCCTAACATTTACTCTTTTTGCAAGCTGCCCAAAAAAACACTGTTACTGAACAAGTGTATAGAAAATCATAAACATTCACTACATCATGAGAGGGGATCAGATTTTGTATCGCCGGTTTGTTTTCCAATCAGCTAGATCAACGGTAAACTCTTTGAAGACGTGCATGCAATGAAAAAAAGAGGTTTTCAAGCACTTACCACTGAAATGCGTTGTAATGGAAGTAAACCATCCCAAGGCCGTATAAAAAGGCAGCATTCTGGAAAAAAAAGTTTAGAAACTGTAAGAATCATCAGCAATAAGTCTTTTTTATGTTTACATTTAATTTTTTTAAACAAGAAGCAAATTGTTGGACTGATAGCGAGTGACTTCACAACGTCCTCGTCTGTTAGGATGGTCACTAGGTCAGATTAGGTGACCACAGAGTGTTAAAGAAACACCGTCTTAACTTCCTGTGTTTCATGGCTGTCAAGATGGAGGTGGGCGAAGGATTTATTGACTTTCAGAACTAAAGTATTCATATCCATATCCAGTCACTCAGGTCAATAACAGCCCCTGTTTATACCAAATTCTGCCTCTTTATATCACTGCTGTCCCACACAGCCGAGGTTAGACCCCCTCAGCCCTCTGTTGAGATGTCTAATCCTTAGGAGTCCAGAGCTGTCAGGTCTGATAACCATCCAGCTCTCAGCACTTCTGTTAAATGGTTGCTCCGAACCCCTGAAACATTAAATCCAGCCGGCCTTCCCATCCTCAGTGAGAGCTGGGCGCCGCCAGGTCACAGCTGATTGGACAATTTACACCCAGACAGGGGGCGCAAACTTCAGGCTATCAAAACAGAGGTAAAACTGAGCTAAACCTGTGCGTCCTCTTCAGTAATTCCTTTAATTCCTCAGCCTGATCTTTACTAACAGTATACCAGTCCTGTCCAGTTATGACTCAGTGCCTCTTAAAGGAAACAGTCTCAGATAAAACAGAGAGGAGAGGATGTGACACTCAAAATTAAACACTTCTTATTCACTCGTCCTTTGAAAAGGCCGAGCTCTGACAGTTCAGAGCCGCCGGCTGTGGACACAGCTGCAGCTGTCTGGCTCTGCTGGTTACAGCTGAGACTGGGGACATGGTGACTGCTTGGACCACAGCTGCTTCAGAGATCAAGAGGGTGACGCTATGAACAGAGCATACGAGTAGAACTGAGCCTCATTTTAGCCATAACCAAGAGTGTCCCAATCCTGATCTGAGGGTTCAGATCGGACCAAATCTAGATGATTTTTTTAGCTGCTGTCAAATACTTTTTCACAGCACTGTACCTTGATACCCCTTCTCTACACAAAGGAGAAAAAAGGCTTGAATAACACCCATGGCTTTGAGAGGCTGTCCTGTCATCAGATTAGAACTGCTGGATTTGGAGAATTCAACACGCTGCCAGGTCTGGGATGCTTTGTGTGCAGCTCTCTTTTCATTCACTTCACATATTACAGCAGACTCCGAGAGGTCGGCTTTCCAGGAGCACTCTCACATAATATTACAACAGCAATATGTTTTCATTTCCTGGCCCTGTGCTTGGACACAGTGGACACGGAATTAAGCTACTACAAGATTACATCACAGAGCTGCAGCTGGAAGTGTCTGAAGATGCATTTACATTCACTGGACATAAAATGGATCCCAGTTTCAGAGCAATGCAAAGAAAAGATGGTCCTCTATGTCACTTTTCAAGCAGGCAGAACACCTGTGTATTCTTCAGTGGTTAATTCAGTCACCAAACCACAACCTCAGAAAGTGTGACAACATCAAAGAGCGGGAAGAGGGGGCGCCGCTCGGTCTAGCAGTTTAGGCGTGCGCCCCATGTACTGAGGTGACAATCAAAGTTGTAGCAGTCACTGCTTCACTGCAGTCTCTCTCTTCAACTGTCAGGTTTAATTAAGAGAAAACAAAGTTATAAGAGGACCAGGTAAAAAGAAACATCTCTTTAAAACAAGCTCAAAGTGAAGATGGAAACTGTAAAAGGTTGAGGGAACAGACACTGAAAGCCGATGTCTGCAAAATGTTAATTTCAACTATCAATAAAGGCATTGTGATAATAAAATGAGTTTCACTAGGGCAATGTGCAGGACAAGAAGGTGATAAGCAAAGAGCAAAAACAGTCAAATATACAGAGTGTAAAAGGAGAGTGCAGCCTGTATCAAAATTTTAACAGCACAAATAAAGACTCATGACATAAGGACCGGAAACCGTATACCAGGCTGTTACTGTTTCTTAATGCACTAAACTGACAGAGTTTTCCCACACTGGCAAAGCTGGTACATATTTGTACACCGGCAACTCAGAGCCTGGAGTGTGTTTTTTCAGCTGTGGAACTGACTGTGACCCTGACTGACACCGAGCACGTGGGCAAGCTTTATTTTCTCAATAAGAACAAGTACGCAGAAACCTGGACGGCAAAGTGACTCGGCAATATTTTCTGCTCAGCTCTTTTGTTGCAGGAATTTGATGTTTAGTAGTTTGAGCCTTGTATTGTATGAATACAGAGATTATTATACAGTCTGCTCCACAGAATCCCTTTTGGACCCTACCCCATAAGCAAACTTAAAGAGATATTAACACAGCACTCCAAGAAGTGTCCTTTCTTTTTACCCCTATGATACATCTTTATTATCTGAAGATTATCTGAGAACATCTGTAGTATGACAAACAAACACCGGCAGACATTATGGCACACGACCTCCCTTTTGAAATCAGGAGGTTAAGCTAAAAGCCAACTGACATCCACACGGAAAATCAAAAGTCTTGAGAGTTGGTTTTAATCCATAATTTCTTTGCAAGTTTTCTTTTTCAAGTGATTTTTTATGCATTGATGCCTTTATTTGACAGGACAGCTGAAAAGAGACAGATAATGTAGTGAGCAGAGAGTGGGCGAACCAGCAACCGCCGCAACAAGGACGGTAGTTTTTGTACATGGGGAGCACATTTACACAAGATTGACTGTGTCCCCCGATTTCTGAGTAAAAGCTGAAATAAAACCTAATGCTACAGTCTGATCAGCAGTCGTCAAACAAAAAGGGAGTGGAAGGATGAGACAAAAACAGGTTGAAAAAAAAAAATATATGGACTCACCTTCCAGTAGTCTGACTGTAAACTGAAGTACCTCTGGTATGCAGATAATGCTGAAAAAGAGGTGAAAGTGAGGGAAAGAAATCAGTTAGAAACATTGAAATACTCTGAAAAATTTACCACAGCTGCACTTTAACACTTTCCAACAAGAATGCACAAAGTGTTTCAACTAAATGTTCCTTTGTGGGCACAGATATGAAAATGAACAGTAACAAAAATCAAAGTAGCAGCAGCCTTGAAGAACATCGCTAGTCAGCTTCTTATTGGCTTCAACACAGTGACTTCACTCCTCAGTATGTACAATCCTTGGTTTATCTGAGTCTTTATTACGATACAAACTGATATGATTGGATATAGACAGAAAAATAATGTTTCTGTGTTTTGGACATGCCGCCTGGTTATAGAAATACACATGGAGACTCTCACCTTTTGGATAGTCCTCCAGCAGGAGGTTGAAGTGTCCCAGCTGGCAGAAAATGTCAGGGTCCACTTTGCCCTCTGCTTTCAGGATGAGAGCGTCGTAGCAGCTAACAGCCTGCACAGAAGAGCACACAGCAGATAATCAGAGTTAAAGAGGTGCTACACAGCAGCAGTGAAGAACACAGAGTGAAATAAAACAGCAGTAATACCCTACATGTGACATCAAAATTATGACAATCTCTTGATTAGAGATAATCACACACAGCTGAAAGACAGAAATGACTTCCTGCGGCCGTTCGGGGCTGTTTTGCATAGTAACAGCTGGATGCCCGTATATGGACCTCATCAGTCAGTGTTTAAACAACGGATAAACAAATGACTCCTGATAGAGCACAATACAGCCATGCAGAGATGATTAGTGAGCCGACCGTGTGTTTGTTAGATGACATGGCTTGGGTGAAATTGCTAGGTTCAGTTTCAGACAGCAATGCTGCGCAAGAAGTTGGAAACTAGCTTTGGGAGGCAATAAAGAGGATTTTTTTTTGTTTATTGTTTGATCGAACTTGCATGAAGCATCTGATTCCTGACATCTCCATGTGGGAAACTTGCTATTACAGGAGTACTTACTATCACAAAGTTACGAGCAGACCACCCAAGACATACTGGAACTTTTGCATTTTTAGACTGGTGCTACACCATTTATATATATAAACTCTTTGGGATCGCAATGTGAAAATGTGCAATTATATAACCGCACAAAAGGCTTGGAATTGCAATAACAGTCAATGTGAGAAAGTGTCTGTAAACATTTAAAGCTCTCCTCTGATTGTTTGAAGGCTGTTTGGTTACGCCCATCAGCTGCTCTGACATTTTGTGAGAGCACATGTGCGGCATGTTTGTTTGATCACATGACTATCCAGCACGCAGAGTGCAGAGTGACTAACATGAATACCAATAAGATGCAAGGTAACAAGCAAAAAGAAAGCAAAAGAAAACTGACAACCTCTGCTCTATGTACATGTTCTCAAGTCGGTGAAGACTGCAAAGTCAAAAGTCTCTATGTCACAACGAAACATGACAAATTATTAGACATGAGCAGCACAACAGAAAGTTATGAATCCGTATGTTTGCATGGACAGTTAAATCAGCCATGTTACAACTCGACTCAATGAATTAAGTAGACAACTGTCCTTGTCCCAGCGTATAAGCACTGAGCGAGAAACTGTTTATTTACAAGTGTATGCACACCTCCACCACACCAGGTGGCGATGTGCCGCCTTTCCGCTTGTAAGTACTGGGTTGACCTATTACATCACATACTAAAGCAATCCACATGTCCAGGAAGCTAACAGATTGTATGTTGAACAAAAGAAATGGGTAAGATGTTTCATACACAAACTGCTCCTCTCCCTGCTCTCCTCTCTTTTTGTGCTTAAAAAATCTTACTCAGTCAAACAGAAACTGACCCATGACATTTTGATGAGTTTTTGTTTATACACCTGGCGATCTATTCAAGTGAGACAATCAACACTTTCAGGAAAAGTCATGATAAGTTAAAAGATATACAGATTTCATGTGTTGTATCTCTTGAATACTTGCAAGTCTTGGGCTTCATGAGACTTTTACAAAGCTTTCTCACAGCTGTTGGAGTATATCAAACTGAATAGTAAGTAGACTGTGTTTTGTCAACTCTTTGCTGATTTTATCTAACCACTAAACCCCACGCTTCACAGTCAGTAAAACATCTCCGCCCATTCACTATTTTCTTGTCATTCAACTAAAATTAACTATACATGAGCTATCACACATTTAGGAGGAGCTGACCTAATGCCACGCTTCTCTTCTCCTCATGAATGTGTGCCGCAGAGGTTAGCTAAGGTCTTAAGAGCACCCTACAGAGACAGTGTGAGTCAGCAAACTGAACAATACACTTACACACACATAATCCAACTGCAAAACTATGCAGGGTAGGTGCTAAAACCAATGACTGTTTTCTTATCTTTAGCTGTGCTGACTTTGCATCAGGTTGAACTCAATACTCTCCCCTCCTGCCACATTTTAAAAACAGTGAAGCCCAGACAGAAAAACTGGAGTCAATACAGATTTATTTTACTCTGATAAATCTCAGCCATTCATTCATTTTACCATGAATCAAATTACGAACAACTGGGTCCCGTAGATTTGCTCAGGGCAGACAAAACCCCCAGAAAGAAAAGATATCAACATCCAAATGCATCACTGGCCAAATCTGTGCTCTGCAAACCTGAAAAATTATTTAGCAAGACCCATATACGCCACATGTTGAAGCCACAGATCATGCACTGGGATTATAACCTTCTAAAACCTCAGCCCTTAAGAAAATAAGGGGCAGGAAACACAGTGACGCTCACAATACTTCCCCCAGGATACAGCAAGTGTTTGTAACTGAAAGACAACGATACAATGATAACTGACACTATCAACTTAAAACCTTTCAAAGACTTCAAAACACAGTAAGTGGTAAAATAAATAAACTGTTCAGCCTGCTAGTTTTCTTTACTGAAGCATGTCTGTCTGTCTGGATGATATAAAAAGTCCTGTGGACAACTGAAAGCGACCATGCATCTCTTCTTTACTTTGAAGCTGTGACTTCATTTTGGTGATAACACTCACTAAATGAAATGACAGATTTTACCAGTAGTGACACATTTATACACTGTCGTTGGAGGGTTAGAGCTCTTTTACCTCAATATTTTAACCACAGGCTGCAGATCTGACAAATCATTCTGTATTTTCAAGCTTTTATGTAATGTCCTTTGTAGCTTCAAGACTTGGGCTTGTATCTTATTATGATTTTGAACGATGTCTCTCACTTTTTAGCCTGGAAGCCGGATTCGCACTACTGATCACTACTGTACAGCCTCTCTCTTGTCCCTCAGCTTTTCAGGCAAATACACACATCTTTTTTCTCCTGCTCCTCTCCCTGCTCTCCTTTCTTCACATGTGGCTGCCTGATAGTTCATACTGCTGTTACTTTAATGGCTGAAAACATAGCGACCAGTCTTTAATCTTAGAAGTAGCAGAAACTTCTTTATGCTCCCAAGCTTGCTTCTCATTGATCTGAGCTGCTTATGATATATGAAAGTAAAAGCTGTTTAGGAAGAGGAGCCAAACCCAGGCTCTGCTGTAATGAAAATGAGGGAGGGTGTACTTCATTCAAGAGGTAATGGGGAAACACAGCAGACAACACAATATTGCTCAGTCCCAATGATCATGTTTTTTTATATTCTTATAATCATGGGGAGCCAAAATTGTCATTAAAATGTATCCAAATTTGGAATATTACAAAATCCAATATAAAATGTACATGTCTACATACGTTTACATGCACAATGAAGTCGTGCAACGGTCATTGCTCGATTGGGTATTCAACTGAACTATTAATGTCCAAGGGGCAGAAATCAAATTACTGACGGGCAACTAACCCAGCTCAAAACCCAGCATACAAACACTTGGGTATGTGCAGGGTACTTTGGCCTGTTTCAGTCGATTGAGTCGTTCACATGACAGAGAATATCCACCCCCAGCTGCACTAACCAGGTATATTAGTCTGACTATGAGTAGTTTGATTTAATGCGATTGCAGTCAAAGTAATGTGTCGAGGTGTACATTAAAAGTCCAGTTTCAATCTGATTATCCAATCTTTAAAACAATCAAATGGACATACTGAAAATACAAGGGAAGCAAAGCTAAAGAGCCACAGATTTGAGTTCATTGATTTGGATCAGCTATCTGTAAAATAATAGGGTGATGAAGATTCAGATTATTGCCAGAATCATGTTATCAGTTGAGACCAATAAATGGTCTACCCCTGAATTTTATTAATCGAATGGTAATCCTAATATCGGCCTTGTGCCTATAGATATGATGCCGATTGTTGACAACTTGATTACTCAATCTTCCCCTCATCTTGTCCAACAAAAAACGCACTTCATTCTGTTTCAACTCTGTTTTTAAAATGTTTATAGTGTTTTCGTGTATTTCACTGTGTCTGAGCTCCTTTTACATGCCAGGAAAAGGTTAAAAACAGGTGATGTGCCGCAAACAATAGCCGACTCCTCTCTCTTCCAGCTGCCGGCTCTCCGAGCTCACTCCGGGCCGTTATTGGTCGTGATCGAACGGTGATTAGCTTAGCACCTGCCACTAGGAAGCTAGCAAGCGTTTGGCGTTGAGATATCTTTCTTTCTGACCCACCAAGTCAAGCACTCGTAATTATACAACCTTTAACTCTTTCTGTGTTTATTCCTCCCTCAGCTGAGTTAAACTGTTTGGGCTTTGTGTGCGAGCAGAGGAGGAAGAAAACCGCTGGACAGTTAGCCGCTAACATGCTAGCAGAGTGAGCTGACGCACAAACCCCAAACTCCGGCAGGCGTGAGTGAGGATGAACCGGGGTTGGTTTAGCAGCATAACCACATTTCTGCACACTGAATACCTCTCTTGGCCTTGGGCTTTAAAGAAGGATACTACTGCCTTCATTTGGGCTATATTTAACACTTTCCAACTCACAAAACAGTCGTGTGTGGTGGTGTTAACGCGTGTTACACCGTCACATTAGTGCCCCCAGTTTAGCTCGAGTTCACAGTTAAAGCAGCAGATGTAACACCAACACATGTGTCCGTCTCTCTTTAAGAACCAGTATCTCTTCCTTGGAGAAAGAAAGAAACGTCTAGGGGGAAATGGTGCATTATTTGGTGCCATTTCTTCTAACAACGGGTAGTTTTAGCTGGGTGGGGGGTTGCATTTCTTTGCACGGCGCTGAAGCTGTGAGTTTAGGCCTGTCTCAGCTGTGTTAGTCATAGCAGGAACCCTCTGACACGTTTTATTCTGCAGGGTGAGTGCAAACGTTGCATGCAACAATCAGGTCTGTAATAGTGAGCTATTTCTGCAGGGAGTCGGTGGTTCAACTTCAAAGTTGGGGGAGAAACGAGGCTTGTGCAAGAGAGGCGTTGTGGGGTATGTGACACTCATTTTAGGTGGGATATGTACTAATCAGAGGAGATAACCCACTGTGATCCTATTCGGTGACATACCTTTAACAGCAAGGCCTTCGTTCTGGCGCCATCTTCTTGAAGCCTATGAAATCCAAACAGAGAACTGCAAGTAGAGGACAGACAACACACAGGCGGTTCCGTGTTACTCACAGGCTGTCATATATGTTATTTTAAACTCTTACCAGAAGCATAAACGCAGAATAAAGCAACAGGACACACTGCTTTTCATAGTAGATGGTCTAACCTGTCAATTTCGGCCAGGCTTTCTTTTTCTGGCGTTGTTAGCTTCGGAAAGTCCTCTTCGATTTCAGTCGCTGCTCCCGACGCCATTTTCTCCTCGTCATTACCAGCAACGCCGAGACTCCGGGCAGCAGCAGAGGCAGCGGCTGTGAGCGACACCCCGCACGATTTCATGGGAAAGAAACGGGAAGGTCGATGGAACCGAGCAATTCCGGCAGAATGCAAAAACAGCGAATATGTTGCACAGCTATCCAGGACTAAAACGGGGCGTAGCGTAATTCTTGCCAAATCCTCAAGGAAATGATCCCTTCAAGTTACCTTCCACACTCTTCATTGTACATCGAAACACTGCGTGTATTCCAGTGGCAATTTATGCATGGAGTTGATGTAATGTTGGGTTTTGGAAGGGAGTGTTACTTGATAATATCTCAAACTTCCCCAACCATCGGCTCAAAGTTGTTGTAATTGTGTCACATAGGCAAACGCACGCCGCCACCGTCGACACGCCCTCCGTTCGTCCTGACCAATCAGCGGCCGGGATACGTAGTCACATGAGCGTCTCCAGTTGATGTGTTGCGAACACGCGGACGTACGCGCGCGCACACACACTAAACGGGCTTCAAAGATCCGCCTCTCCGAACGTGATTGGTTACTCACGGTATATTATGATTACGTAACTTTCTTTTGAAGCAGCGCATTGGTCAAAGTGGCTGTCACTCACGTCCGTGGGGGGCGGCTGTCAAGGATGTTTGTTGCAACGTTGCAAATACAGTAGTATCAATCCATCCATCTATCTATCTATCTTTCTATCTATCTATCTATCGATCTGTCTAGATCGATAGATAGATACTTAGATGTCTGGACTTCTCATCTTTCGTCAAAATCTCATGATTTGTATGTATTTGTATATATTCTTGTTGTTTGCATTTGCTTTCTCAGCGTAAACATATGTTTCAAATGCAAATAAAGTCTTTAAAATTTTATATCTTGTAAACATTTTCATAATACATTTCTGCATTGTTATTTTTATGCTTCTGCTTTAAAACTAAACCATATTATAACCTTTGATTTTGCTCTGGTTGTTTTAATCTATTTTTTAAAAATGATCATTAATGGACTAATTTATTGATTTTAAATGTCACCTGATTTTATTTTTTCCAACCTATTGAATTCTCTTGTAGAAATAAACAGTTTTAGATGTACAAATAAATTTGCCTTGCCTTAGAAATAGGTAAACTGTGATAAATAGTATAATAAATAGAAAAGTGATTGTGTGCGCACCAGCAAGTCTAAATGTACAGATATTTTGATAGTTAAAGTTTATGTGTTAATTTTTTTAAAAGTGGGAATTATTCTGCTTATCCACAAACCTTTGCTTTCAGTTTTTTATTTGTTTGATAGTATAGTGACAAGTAGTGTACCACTGTTACATTTTTTAAGCATTGCTGCAGATTTTATGTCATTATTTTGATTTCTGTGACCCAGTGCCACCTATTCTTAAAGTCAGTTTGCTTTAAGTTTACCCTGTCTCTAAACTCAGACTGTTATTCTGCAGAACTGCATAATTTTCCATCAAAGTTTTGCATGCTCCATTCCCTTTTATATGCAAACATATAAAACATCAAGCTGTTTTTACTGCAATTGTTTAGCAGATTTTTAAAGTAATGAAGACAAGCTTGGATGGATGACTGATTATTAAGGGAGGAAATTAAGAAACTGTTCTGTCAGACAGCAAACCTGAAGGTGATGAGTGAGGATAGCTTACTGTGACACTCTTGTTTATTTTCCATAACATTATTCCCCACCATAACCATTGCGTTGTGTTTCTGTTGCAATCCCTGGGGGGTAGCATATGGAAAACAGAAAGCTCGTTTATTATCTTTTACAGACAGCAAGAAAAATTATATATCCCTATCCTGACTGAAATCACCCACCCTTCTGTGGTGAGGCAAGTGAAATTATAAAGGGGGAAAATAACAGAAAAAATCATGTAAAATAGACTTACTCTCATTTTTTATAGGATATTGTTGTTGCTAACTTTACCGTAGATTACTAACAAGTTAGGGGGAGATACTGACTTGTAGTAGAGGGGTGGACTGAGGCATGAGTCAAGGGGCTCTGCACATAGACATGTCCAGAAAATGGGTTACAATTGTCGTAGTCCTACCTGGTTAAGTCACTCCTGTACCAAAGAGAACAGCATAAGTGTCTCACCTGATTAAGAAGAAAAAGAACTGGACCATTGCTCAAAGGTCCAAAGTCCTGTTTTCAGATTAAACTTAATATAGCATCTCATTTGAAAATCAAGGTCTCTGAGATTAGCAAGGCCTCCTCAAAGGAGCTTTAATTTCAGGTAGACTATTTCATTTCTTTTTCATGCTGATGGAAAGATTATTCAATAAAAATTGGTAGTACTAGCTCTTAAACTATAACTTCCTGTAAATATGTCAATTGTGCTGTCTTACGAAGACAGGGTATGGCTCTGCTTTCTTTTAGCAGTAAAATGTGTCACAGTGTAAAAGACTCTGCAGTTCGACACCTTACCCCTGCCAGCACTATCAGGCATTAAAATTACAGTGAAGAAATTCTCTGTCTGAATGTTGATGGTCTTGTTCCATTTCCTCCTGTTTTTTAACCAGGTAAAAACTCCTCAAGGGAGCTTTAATAGTTACTGTGTTTTTAAACTAGTCCTATTCCGGTCCTTTATCTTTTTTCGGCTTTACTGTCTTTTTAGCTTTTGTTATACTTGTACTCTTTTCTTAATGAACCTTTTATAGTTTTATCTCTTGCTCGTTTCTTTTGCTCTATTTCATCATTACTGTTATTATCATTATTATTATTAACGTTATTATTTTATTATCATTGTTGATATTGCCTTTTATATTTACTATCCTGTTTTCGCTTTCGACCCCCCTTTCAATTGCATTTCCTTTTTTTTCTTATCTATTTTATGTTTTTATTTTGGTCCTCATGGTCTCATTTTATGTCACATGGTTCTTGTATTGTCTGGGTTCCTTATGACATGAAAATGACCTTCAATTCCATTTTTACTGAGCTTTTTGTTTTCTGTCTCTTTCCATGTGCTCTATGACTATATGTCAAAGCACTTCGTAAACTTCTGCTATACAAATAAAGTTATACGGTTATTATTATTAATATTATTCCAAACAATTGGTATTCCTTAAAAATGCTACAAAGCTACTTTAAAAACTGACATGTTACACACAGTTAAAATTTTGTCATAACTGGAAAATAAAAGTTGTTCATTTCAATATTTAGTTTTTTTTTCCTCCAACAAAGGGCAATGAACCTTTTTCAGATTTTTACAGCTCTCTAACCTTTGTTCTTCCGTCCTGAGATTATTTTTATGATTATTGCAGAGTCTAATCATCATCAGCAGACAGACAGACAGACAGATTTTCCTCCTTGTGTCTCAGTTTCTCTTTTACTTTGAACGTCTCAATTATGGAAATGACGCCGGACGTTCAGGCAGCTGAGGACTGACTCCAAAATGGCGAACCACGACAAGGGTAAGCAGGCCTATAAAGTAATCACATCCCTCTCTAACTGGGATCATATGTTGATTTCGGCATGAATAATGAGTCGTAGTATGTTTTAAAACTACTGTCTAATCTTTTGTACCGTTAAAAACCCACTTCTCCCTCTGGCTTGTCTCTAGTGTGTTCCGACGCAGCTTCAACGGCTAACTTTTCCACTGTCGCTTAGCTTCACTTGTCCGATGATGCTAATGTTACATTCATGTGCACCCTGAAATGTTAGGTTTCCATAGTTTCCGAAGCTATGGGATTTTGTCTTAATATTTTTGTCTGCCAGCCCAAGACATGTTTAAAGCCACCACGTTATAGCCTTATCTTCTGTCTACCAGCCTAAATTGTTGTAAGCAAGCAACTACAAGCATTTAGACTGAAGCTTTTTGATGTGTCATATTTAATGCTCGCTAATTTATTCAAAAATTTTAGACGTAAAGTCAGAATTAATCTTAGTTCGCTTTGTCTCCATGGAGCATGACACCAAGCCTGTAAAATGCCCATCGTCTTCACCTGGAGTTGCTGGAAACTATTTTTTCCAGATTTTTTCAAGAGCACATGAACGCATAGTCAGAAGTTAACTATGATGTTGGTAGCAAGCTTTCTCCATCTGGTGTACAAACAGCTTTTTAAAGATAAAAGTTAATGGTTAGAGTTATGATAGTGTCGGGTTTCAATGTTGTATCTGTCGCTACTGTAGGCTCACAGTATTTTTCCATGCAGCTAAAGAGCTGGAGGAGGAGATCTACGACAAGGTGGTGGACCTGACAGAATATGCCAAACGACAGAGATGGTGGAACCGCCTGTTTGGGAAAAACTCTGGACCTGTAGCGGAGAAATACTCCGTGGCCACACAAATAGCCATAGGAGGAGTGAGTGGATGGTAAGATTCAGGGTCTACAATGATAAGCTTGAGAGCTACTTGAAAAGTATCTGCGGATGGATAGGAGTGCACAGTACTGCTTCAAAAACATACTGCTAATGCACCTAAAATATCTGCTTAGATTAAGGAGTAAAACTACAGGCTTGACAAGTGGTGGAGTTAGTGTGTATCATAGTAAAGCATTCCATTTGCAAGACTATAGCCAGATACTTCTTCAGACCATCAAGGACTTCACATTTGAAGACTGAAATGCAGCAGGCTGCTTCCAAAATGGATCAAAATATAACATGTAGGCTACCACAAAAGGCAACATGGCAGCAATATTCTCAGCTGAGTCTTTTTTATAGGTTTGCCAGAGCTTACAATGGTATAAAACCTCCAAATGATAATGGAAAAAGGAATTAAAGTCAGCTTTTTTTTTGTAAACAGTCAGACACCTGCCTTATTGAAACATGAGCCCTGGTGATAGTAATGTTGCATCAGCAGGATTACTCTTCAAACCAAGAGACTTTTACATAGCATGAGATATATAGTTCATCTGTTATTAAATAAAAGGCAAGTAAATTTTTTTTCACTGGCCATGCCTTCACAATGATCAGGATGCAAGAGAAAGCAGCGTAAAGATAAACTTCCTCTCCTTTTATCACCCCTAAATTGTTTTTCAAATCCATATTTGTGTATCGCTGGACCACATGAAAATTACTGCTAGTTTTAGTTAACTACTAGTTTTTTCTATACCTTTTACCTACAAACAGAACTTAGAGTTATGTAGTTTGAGTCATACTTTGTATTAACTTGACCTTCATGCTCTTTCTTGATTGATTTCAGGTGTGCAGGATATCTGTTCCAGAAGGTGGGAAAAGTTGCAGCGACATCAGTGGGAGGAGGTCTGCTGCTGTTACAGGTAGTCTTGCTGTAGCCAAGGATGATTTCATTCATGCTTTGGCTTTTGTTTATTTTCCTGACCCTAGTTTTTCAGTCTGTTAAATTACTGAAGAGTTGACAAAGGTGTTTCCCTACATGTATGGCGAGATTCCTAAATGTTTTGTATTGTCTGCAACCTAATTATTCTGTTAATTTAACAAAAAAAAATATTCTTTTAAAATACTTGATTTACTTGCTCAGTATTGACCAAAAGGTTCAAATAAAATCACTCAGGGTAGGGTTTTCCACACTGCAAAAGTTTGAGCATTTTAAGTGTTTAATTAACCTGACTCTCCCTAGATTGCTAACAACAGCGGCTACATCCAGGTGGACTGGAAAAGAGTAGAGAAGGACGTCAACAAAGCAAAGAAGCAGCTAAAGAAAGGCACTAATCAAGCAGGCCCTGAGTTAAACACATTCATGGAGAAGGTAAGAATATTAGAATTAATCTATCTCACTGATAATCACACCACATGGTCATTTGACCCCCTCACACTGTCTACTTTTGGTCATGCAGAATAGTTATTATAAAACTTTTGATGCAAAAACATGCCGGCATGCCTGCAAACCTCCACCAACACATCGAATGTTGAAAGTGAGAAATTTCATGTTTTATATGATTAGTTTAAATTTGATGACAGCAACATGTGTCTTTTAGTTCTAACAGGGTCATGTTTTCCATTTATTAGGGAACAACTTATCCCTCTTTCTCTTTGTATGGTTCAGTTTTAACCTGAATTTGTGAATGCAGTGATCAACTGTGGACACAGACAATGGTTTCCAGAAGTGATATAAAGCTTATGCAGTAATTTCCTCGACTGGATCCTTTTTTCCACATTACACAATATTTTTCCAGTTTGGTTGTTCCTCTAACAACTTTTTGCTGGCATCATATTTAATATGAGCATATATTTGTCATAAAACAACCAGATATTTCAGTTTGAACACTGATATGATCATAACAAAGCAGAACACCCTCAGCACATTATCAGTTTCCTCACTTGGACTGCCTGCCTGTCTGGTTTCAAAATGTCTTTTTATCTCCTCACTTATTTTTCTTGCATTTTAGTGTGAATTGAATTTTGGCTGCTGTTTTTTTTAATTTTTATGTATATTTAACAAAAAATTTGACCTCCTTTTTTTCAGACCACAGAGTTTGTGAAGAAAAACATCGTCGTCACGAGTGGTTTCATTGGAGGATTCCTGCTCGGCTTGGCCTCCTAGGATCTGCCAAATAAGAAGAGTTTGCATTTCTGGGATTTAATGAAAGCTATCGGGAAACTGTTTAAATCATTGCTGGAAGCATTTTTAACAGCAAGCAACCAATCTCTGATCGTAGCTCTAAGCTATGTGTCTCTGTAAAAGCTGCACATCTTTTTGTCTATTTTAAAACTGCACCCCTGTGTGCTGAGCACTGTGGGATCTATGGTTAGACCAGATTGACCCACTTCGAAAACCACACTTCCAGGCTAAATAAGAATACATATCATGCAAGAAGAATTTAATAAAAGCTATGTCCTTTAATAAAGGTATAATGTTCAATTTTTTTCTATTTATTTGTTTTTTTTTAACTATGTGAACCAAATCTGAACATTATGCACTATTACTGCTCACACATGCACACGAACATTAAATGAAATGTATGTAGATTCAAATTTACCTTTACATAGTAGGTATCGCCCATTGGTGCCATCAGTCCCAGTGCTGATTTTATTTTTATTGTCTAGCTGTTTAATCATCTCCTAGGTGAAAATATTTAAAGATGAAGTATTCTGCCTTTCTTTTTTGAGTTCCAGCTACATGGTTGATGGGTTATATCAGTGTCCCTTGCATCTCTCTTTTCATTGTGTTTGGACTGTTGGTATGCTGGTTCTTTAGATACTGAGAGTTGTATCTATTGTGTATGTTTGACAAACTAATAAAAAAAATAAGAAAATCAACTGAAGTGTATCTCATTCATTATATAAGGTTTATAGCACAATCTCTGTAAAACAGTTTGCATGTCACAATAAGCAACAGTAATGTATAACTATCTCAGGCTGTGCACCACACGAGGTGCACTTCACATGCATGTTTACAAACCTTAAAATTATGTTGCATGGGTAAATATTCTGAGTTATTTTTTCTCAATACACAATCTTGGAAGCAGTAATTTTACTGTTACCCAGCACTTTTTGCAGAGATCTAGAAATACCTTTGACATTCTTGATTATAAGTATATTTGTGCATTTTCTTTCTATTATATTACTCCAACAGTGCACAAACCCAAGGGTCTTTTCATTCACAAAAGTACACGACCTGAAAATCTGGTAAAAGAAGTGTCTTAAGACTGAGCTTTTGGGTTTCTTTAAATTGAATTAAAGCTCTATATGTTTGTCTTCAAGCTCTAAACTCAGTTGTATTTTTTTATATCAAGTGGATTCCATTTTATTGTAGTTTATTTCTTTTTTATGCGTTGTAATGTATTTAATGAGTTTTTTTATTGAAATAAAGCTCTATATGTTTATTTTTAAGCTCTTAACTCAGTTGTATTTTTTTTATATCAAGTAGATTTCATTTCATTGTAGTTTATCTCTTTTTTATACGTTGTTGTAATGTATTTAGTGAGGGTTTTTTTTTTGCTGAAATATGTTATGTTTAACAGTTTCAATGCATGCTTCTTGACAAGTATGAACCATAGACTGTATATATATATATATATATATATATATATATATACAGTATATAGACCTATATACAGTCTATGGTCTGAACCAATAACAAGTTTCACCTGCTTTACGTCAGTTGCTAAGGCACGCCCTTTAAGGAAACGCTGCCATGGTAACCAGAACACAGACCGTTGGGGATTCACCACTGCTAAGTTTAATTAGAAAATTTAACAACCAAAATTGAAGATTAAAGCCATGGCTTTACCTTTTCTACCCGGGAATTCATCTAACAGACAGGTAAGAGTCCAAAGTTTGTCCCAAGTCACCTTTTATGGGTTACTTGCTCGGTCATTAAGTTAAGTTTATGTACTGCAGAGAAGTTTGTTGGCTAGCTAAGAGGTAAGCTAAGTTTTTAACGTTTAACGTTACGCAGTTTTAACAAGCTAGCTCCTGAAATACACATACATTTACCGACAGTGGCTCCTTAATTTAAGTTATTGAGCAGCAGAATCACTTTCAATACAAGTTGTAAGAACAAATTTACCTGTTAGATAAATGTAACGTTAGTATTCGGAAAAATGTTTAAAAAATATACATAATAAATTGACAAGCACTGTTCTGAAGCACAAAATGGAGGACCGTTGATTCAAGTCGCCGATATAAATTAAATACTAATCAACACAGTGAAAGAGAAAAAAAATCACAAAATCAACATTAAAATGTGATTAATCACCGAGCTCTACAATAAAAGATATATTTGACTGTTTTTTATTTTATTTTTATTATTATTATTTTTTTATTATTTGTTTGTATTTTTCTTTTTTTCCTTGTCAGTAGACACTGTTTAAGGACAATGAAAGACTGCTTTATCCAAAGGGGATGCCAAAATTGGCTAGTCGAGAGTTCCTTGTTGATGCTTTTGGTTAATCTGCAGTGTGACCAATATGATTACATGCTCCATATACACTTAGATTTAGAGGAGTTTAACTTTTTTTTTCTCTTTGTGTCTCAGCTGGGAAAAGAGAGGTTCCACAAATCCCAACATTTCGACGTCATCAATAGACTTCCAGTGCTGGTGGGATCTGAGAAGCCAGGCATTGGAGGAGAGCTGCTGTTGGGCCAGAAGATCAAACCAAAGTTTTCTGTCTACCCAAGAGGACAAGGCAGTGATTTACCTGCATGGGTGGCCTTTGACAAACAGGTGTGCTGTCTTAAAATAGATCTATTTACTCAAAGAGATGTTATTTCTCTAAATACGTTGTAATGACCCACACCATGTCTTATTTAAACCCTACTAATACTGAGCAGTAGTTTTAAAAATAAATAAGCTACATACAGGACTGATAAGGTCCTGCACCAATGTTTTTAATGGAGTGCATGATTGTTGATTGGCATTTGTGAAACGTTAAAAAAAAAACATTGATCAGTTCAGAGAGTAAAAGTTAAAACCTGGTTTAATCATCCTTGACACCCTTTGCTTCTGCAGGTCCTGTGTTTTGAAGCATACTTCCAGGAGGCTGTGCCTGAAACCCAAACTGAGACATACCGGATCAGAAAGTTTAAAATCTACTTCTACATGGAGGATGACACCATACAGGTGGTGGAACCAGAGTACAAGAACAGCGGCATCCCTCAAGGTCTCACAGGAAATTTTTTGCCTAAAATTAGATTATTTTTCCTGTTCCTTTTTTTGCATGCAAGCTCTCGGCTGGTGTAATGTTGCAGTTATCATAGATGTCGAGTAGCACATTTCACTTAGATGTGATGAACAGTTTATCATCTGTTGCTGACCATCACTGCAATTTCATTTTGTTTAACAGGAACATTTATTCATCGTCAGCGCATCCCGCTGCCTCCTCCGAATGATGACCGGTTTTACAACATTTTCCATTTCAACATCAACCAGCAGATGGTGCTGCACTCACGCACCTTCACCCTGACCAGCTGTGACGCTTTTACTAGAGACTTTCTCACCAGACTGGGAGTTCAGCTAAATGAAAGCATCTCTGTACCTGAAGACCCCTACACCAGCCTCCGAGAACAGGTGAGGACCAAAGTCACACCTTCAGTTTTTATACCATTTTTTTTTTTGAAGTGCTGATAAATGATCTGGTGTGTTCAACAATGCTTCTATCTTTCCTTCTCTTCTATTATTATGTTATTTCATTCAAAACATGAATATTCTCATCTCACTAAGACTTTTTGTTGCTCTTTTTGTAAACATTAAAATTAAAAACAAAATTCCAGAAAGTGCTGGTAAGGGAGTTTATGTAGTGAGGATTAAGTTTCCTGCACGCTTGTAATATAATGTTTAACAATCCTTAATAAACCCTTATAAAGTCTAATTTTAATAAACATCCTTTTGATGCTTATGACTCATATAGAATGATAACACATTTCTAAAGAGACCTTTTAAGTGTCTAAAAGCAATCATAAATGTGTGAATTATGCTTTTGTTGACACTCAAAAATATGTATCAAGTCTTATAGGTGGCTTATTAACTATTAAATTATGCTTTATTGGTAATGATGTGATCTTTGAATGAATAAACCTCTGCCCCTGGTCCAGATCGAGAAGAATATAAAGCCTCTCCGACCGTACGAGAGGTGGGACACATTGAAGCAGTTCCTTGAAAACGACCGTAAAGTGTTGCGCTTCTTCTGTCTGTGGGACGACACAGAGAGTGCGTTCGGGAACCCCCACGAGCTCGTGCTGCTTTACTACCTAGCGGATGACACCATCGAGATCCGGGAGGTCACCTCACAAATTCCCAGGGGAGACACAGTGCCCAAATTCCTATGCCGAGGCAAGCTACCAAAGGTGAGGTAGTAGAAGCTGTTGCACCCAAGCACACTTCCATCTTGTAGTTATAATAGAGATAGAATTATCCAGCTTACAGTGATTCCTCTCAACAACATTTGAAGCAGCTTGTTGTACCTTTATTCTACCACTGAGGAAGCGGCAAGGGCGTTCATTTAGTAATCAGGATACAAGGATACATAATGGGGAACCACTATCAGTAACAGTGAAAACGAAATAATGTCTTTACCTCCATGTTTATGACAGTGTTTTACATTCATAGATGGTGATTTCAAAGCAAAAGGATAGCAGTACCTCTATTTCTGGTTGGGTGACTTTTCATTCTCCTCCCAGCATCCCTCCTCTCACCCAGACCTCATTCGGCCTGACAGACCTGCTGCAGCATACCGTCCCCCTCCAGCATTTTGGCTTTCTCCTCCACTTACTGACTGAAGGCTAATTCATGTTGAAAGACAGCCAGACCTCAACCGTGTGTGTGTGTGTGTGTGTGTGTGTGTGTGTGTGTGTGTGTGTGTGTGTGTGTGTGTGTGTGTGTGTGTGTGTGTGTGTGTGTGTGTGTGCGTGTGTGTGTGTGTGTGTGTGTAATTTAGTTTGTTCTGATGCCTTTTATTAAATGTCAGTCCTAAAGGTTGATCAGAATCAACCATCCAATAGGAAATCACCACATCCATCACTTCTTTTTTCCCTCTCTCCATGTGGTTAGTCTCCCTGCCTCTGTGTCTCTCTCGCCCCTCTGTCTCTCTTTTTGGTTATTTTATCTCTCCGTCCGGATGTGTGCATCTGTGTTTTCATGCAGAGTGCCTGTTAGTTCTCTGAAGGTCATGTGTAATGTGCTGGTGTGTGGTCTATCTGCAGCATGGACCCGCCCAAATGAAGCAGCCTGGAATGGCGGCGGACCGCACTGTGCTCAACGTTTTGGCCTCAACAACTCAGGGGCAACGCTTCATCCTGGACAGCCTCAAAGTATGTCCTGTCTCAGCCACATATAGAATCCACACATGCTGCAGGGGAAAAAAGAAGCACAAAACTAGATAAATTGAATATCTTTGAATTTGATTTTGCAAAGTGAATTAGCAGTGAGGGACTGAAAGAAATCCCTCCAAACAGAAAGACAATTGTCTTTGATTTCATTTGAATGTATATCCTTTTAATTTGCACTAACTGGGAAGTTAGGGGGAGTCAGGACACAGGGGAAAGAGACGGTAATGTCATTCAACAAATATTGCTGTCTAGAATTAAACTGAAAGTATTACATCAGCTGTGGAGGTATATGGCAACAACCCAGTCACCAAAGCACTTAATATTAGAGACAAAAAACAGATCATAACATGTAACCTCAACATATCAGTCAATACATTATCAGCATTCAGAAGTAAAATCCTGCAAACTAATAAAATGAGGATTTTGTAGCTCATAATAGAACAAGGGAGCAAAAACATGAAGAACACTCAAGCCAAAGGTAGAGTAAGCGAGAATAAAGAACAAATTTTAGAATATGAGATAGGAGGTTACAGTTACTGACAGCTTTTAACTGTTTCGCTGTAGAACCATGGCTCTATGAAGAGATCGTTCTTGGTTACAATATTCCCACCTGGCCATAGAGGTTGGTCACAGTGATTTGTAGCGGGACCACCTTTGTGGACCATGAACATCATTCCTCATAATATTCCAGGCCAAGGGTTTTTAAAGCAACACCAATTGGCTTTCAGGTTGGTTTTTTTTTATACGTATACCCCATGTCTGTAATGTTAGATGTCCAAGAGCCTTTTGGCTATGAAGTGTTTGCTGAGCTGGAACCTTAACAGTCATTAACTGAAGCTTAACTATTATTGACTTTATTCTGAAACAGTTTTCATTATTTTCTAATTTCTCTCTGCAGACAGGGGCTGTCCACGAGGAGTTTTATAAAGACTCTGATCTGACTGTAGGCGGCGAGATAAACGTGTGGGGCCGCAGAGTGCTCATCACTGACTGTGATAACTTCACCAAAGAGTACTACCGCCTCAGATACGGCATAGGTAAACATCTCATTAGTTATCTTTTCAGTGTGAATACATAACGTACAATGCTTCTTCAGCGGACAGACAATGGAGCTTGAAAAAAATAAGGTTTAAACATTTCAAGTTTTACATGTCAAGGTTCCCGATTCATGGAAAGTCCTGAAAAGTTGTGAGAGAGATTTATTTTTACTTGTGTGAGGTCTGTCTTTAAGACAAGAGGTGTTTGATCAAATAAACACTGTCTAGAAAGCATTTTATGATTTTCTTTTTTATTTTGATGGATTTACTTGTTTATGTGAAGCCTACAAATGGAAGAGCGAAGGTCCAAACAAAGAGAACATGCAAGTTCAAGAAAAGTGGCTTCAAGATGAAAATGGTTTGAAGTAACAAACATTATGAGAGGATTTTCAGGACACAAAAATAAGCATTAATATGACATGAAATAACAAATTTCTTGCCTTTGTTCTAGAATCTGAAAACATTTAACTTACATTTATGCTTCATATTCTACTTTTGGATCGACTGGTTTAGTCACTAGTTCTCCAGTCTGAATGTAATAATGTAAAATATGCTTATTCACTGTAATATTTCCTTTTTTGATGGATAACATTTTGGCTAGTGCTCTTCCCTGCAGCACATTGCAGTGACCACTTGGGGGCAGTAAGCACCAGCAAGAGATGTTAACCCTCCGAACACAGCCTTTTCCTGATAGGGATGGTACAGATAACATTCAGAAAACGAAGTAGTTTTATTCATATTGCAGTAAATCTCATATGTCCTGAGATTTATTTGTCTAAGAGCTTGAAGAAGCTTTCAGCAGCTTGTATGATCCTCTGGTTCCTGTGGCCAGTCCTCAGTGGATGGACCTAAGAACCACTAACAGAGCTGAGTTCCTCTGATCTGACATCAGATACCCTACCCCTCCAGCACCGGTATTTCTCCTCCACAGTAAGAGGCAGCAGGGACCCTGTGAGGCACACGGTGCCCCAGCAGGAGAAACCAGAGCTGATCCTGGACCAGTCTGCCACTCTGACCAGGTTCTGGGTCTGGTTGTATTAGTCACAGTAATACAGCGGGTCGAGCCTGCGGTGACAGACAGTTGTGATGGAGGGCCCTGTCTGACTCGAGGGTCAGCTCCTGGTCACAGTCAGACCCGGGTCTCTGTGCTTTTGCATGGATGGATTACCTGCTGCCCTCTGATCGTTGCAGCTCTTCTCCTTTTTTCTTTTAAGTGTTTTGTCTCCTTTCTCCCTCTCCCCCTCAGAGGACTTCACCCCAGTGCAGTACAAAGCTCCCCCTGACCCAAAGCCCCCAAGGATGATGCCCCCCTACAACGGCTTTGGCTCTGAGGAGGACTCGCTTGGCTTCTGCAAGAACCTGCTCCCCAAACCCCCCCAGAGAGATTTCCACAAATTCATGGAGAAAGACAGGTTGGCTGAGCTGCCGTCACAGCTACAATCAGTTTGAGTGTGTGTGTGTGTTAGTGTGTACATCTCTCTCTCCTCAGGTGCGGCCTTGACAGTCATGTGCTAAATTTCCATGCCAAGATGGTGACCAACAATCCAATTGACACAACTAGGGTGTTTGTCATCTCCTTCTACCTCAGCGATGATTCCATTAGCGTGTTTGAGCGCCCTACAAAAAACTCGGGTAAAAAAAAAAGTTTGGACCAGAGCCACTCCAAGATGCACGATACAACTCTATGACTCTCATGTTAAACATTAACCTCAGAGATACAGTTTCCATCTTCAGAGCCTTTTGAAAACAGATGAAACAGATAACAGTGGGTGCAATAGACCTACTTTTTCGGGGAAAGAGAAATTCCCATCAGTATAAATCTTTGTTTGACATATTTACTGCATGTCAAAATGAATAGCATGTCTTGGGGGTTAGGGTTGCAAAAAATTGAAAGGAATTGAAAGGATGCTAAACAAAACTGCAAGAGCAGCCGCCTAAGTTTGCACAGAGTAAGAAACTGACTGAACCAAAATATGTTCAATAATCAGACACCTCTTACCTCTCTTATGCTCACGCTCTAGGTGGGCTTGGAGGTAAGTTTCTGAAGCGCGGCCGTGTGAAGAAGCCGGGTCAGGAGCTGTTTAAGAGCGAGAGGTCTGAGTACTTTACAGCTCAGGATCTGTACGTTGGTGCAACCCTCTGCATCCACAACAGGAGCTTTCTGCTCTTGGGTGCTGATGAATACGCCCTAAGCTACATGGAGAAACACGCTGAGGAGGTAGGGGGGTAGCAAAGGAAGGATGTGTCTTTACTGTGTTTCTTGAAAATGTTTTAAAGGGTTTGAGATGAAGTAGGTCTTTAAAACTGATAAGTTTCACAACCAGGTAAAAGGCCCTGCAGTCATCTTCTCTTTGTCTTTGTGTTTTCATGATTCAGGGTGTAAAACTAAAAGATTTTATCAAATACTTAATGTTATCTGTGTTGCTGTGTTCCAAGCTGCAATTATATAACCAGAAAAAGTCAGAAATCTTTACTTTTTATAAAGCTTTTAATCTGCAGCAGTACATCAATGTGTTCAAAATGTGTTTATTTGTCGGCAGTTCCCCAAAGCCAACGTGGGGAACATCATCAGTAAGCTACGTTCAATCCCCAAAGACAAACAAAGCGAGGTCAGGAGGTTTCTGACACTCAGTGACCCCAGCAGCACTGGACTCATCCCCTACGAGTCATTCAGGTACAGTTATACAGCTAAATGTGCCCTTCTTTCTCAGAACTCTGAAAAAGGTAATTTAAAAGGTCATCTGTTAGAATAAGTCAATTAAAATATACATAAATAGATAAATAAAGAAAAAGATAAAGTCAGTCAATGTATATTAAAACATTGGAAATGTGTCAGACTGAGACTGACCTCGAATGTTAATGAGTCTGATGGATGTCAGTACAAAGCTGAACATGGTCTGTTTTGTTTTAAATAGAGAGATCTGTATATCTTGTAGTGGTTATGGAGAGTATGCACGAGGTGTCAGAGGCTTTTTGCACTCCTTTTGTTTTAGTCTTCCAGCTGTAGAAAGTGTGTAAAGTGTGGACAATCTAATCATATGTCCAAGCCAGAATGATATCAACCACCTTCAAATATTTTCAGTCAAGAAGAGCCTATGAAATAGGAGCCAGAAAAATTTCACTCTGAGCTTCTCATCCAGATATTTATCATAGTTCAAAAATGATTGTCCAGTTTCAAAAACAGCGAAAAGACACTGTGATGAGCAATGGAATAAACCATTCCCAATCAGTTAATTTGCCAACTATGCTGATGATCATTTAATTGCTTCAGTCTTGTGCTCAGCATAAAATGTCAAACATTTGCTGTCCTCGGCTTCTCACATGTGAGGATTTCAAAATATTTTTTGGCATTTTATGGAAAGACAGATGAATTGCTAGACTGTGAAAGTATTCAGCTGATTAATGATGATGTTGAAAATACAAGTTGCAGCCCTGATTTAAACATTTTGGAGACAGCGGCAAAGAGGATAAAAGAGGCAGCAGACTCCTTGTTGTGTGACCTGCTGGTCAAACAATAAGCTATTAATAAGATATTAGCAATTAATAAGATATTGGTCATAATTCAAACCGTATTGTCTGCAAGGATCAATTGAATAATTCATCAAAATCTTTTATTTCCTATGTAGATTATCAGTCTTTGGTCAAACACCTTACATTATTTTTGGCATTTTTATGGACAGAAAGTTGAATCCCAAGATAGTTAAAATATTCAGCCAAAAAATGGTAATGTCGAAAATAAGATTCGAAGACCTGATGTAAACTTTTTGGGCAAAGTGACAGACTGAAAAAAAGAAAATATATTTATATGTTAGGATCTTGTTTGTCCAGTATTCTGTTGATTTGACTTGAATTGATCAGTATTAACATAGTTTTTAATCTAAGTATAAACAAAATATTGCTGCATGAGCTCTTAAATTTATTTGGTCTTTAATGATTCTGTTGATTATATAGACTGTGTTTGTGTTGTTGAATACTTCCTGTCTTCTACTTGTTTACATTTCTCTCTTTACTTTTAATGTGAGTACCTGTAACTTCAGCTGATTTACCTCCTGAGGATCACTGAAATATTTCCTCCTGTGTCCCTGATTCCATGTGTTTTTATATCTGTATGTTTTGTGTATGTGTGTGTAAACACCTTAGGGGCCTGCTGACTGGTCTGGACTATGGTCTGTCGGAGCACGAGGTTCTGGTTCTGGGACGGAGCTTCTCAGGGCCTGTTGAGCAGCCTGAGGTGGACGTGGGTCTGATGCTGGCTGTGGCCAAGCACTTCCTCAAGAAACAATCCTTTGATGATATGCCCGCCATGGCCAGAGCATTCGCACACCAAGACCGGCACAAGTGGGCTTCAGACACACACACACACGCACACACATATACAGATGTTAGCTCAGGACCAAACACTGCTGCATACACACAGGCAAAGCGTCACAACAAGACATCAATCGTGCAGCCGGTGGCCCTGTATCTGAGCAGAGATTAGTTCCAGCAGTGTGTGAGTGCAGCATTGGAAGCAGATGGACCCTGAGGACCTGAATGGCATTTAGCTCTGCAGGCTGCAGGACACACAAACATGGCACTGCCTCTCTCTACTCTGTGTATATAAAAACATATACTTTAAGTTAGATTTCTTGTTAAAAAACCTGCAGAGGATGTCTCTGGATTTGCTGAAATGTATGGTCAGTGGAGCCACAGGGTTCAGCTGGCTCATCTGCTTGTGTGTCCATGTTGACACTCTATTAGCCTGAGACTGCTCATCAGCTTCTTGGTAATGAAGACAGCATGACAGGAATGAGTCTCTGGACTGTCTGACTTCACTGTGAAAAACAACTGTGGCATCGCCTGTTTCACACATTAACACACACAAACTATATCAAAACTGTCATGAAATCTCAGTTGCAGACTTTTTTTTCTATAAATACCATTTTACAACACAAATTTAAAAGTAAAGAAATTGTGAGACGTTTTCAACCAGTAATTTGAACTCTTTGGCCACATAATCCGTCTGTTACTTTTGCAGACTGTAATCCGAACCCAGATGCTGTCCACTCATTTAGGAAACTTGTATCCTAACCAGCACAGATTTCCTCACCTTTACAGTAACGGGTCTAAAATTGTCCAGTGTGATGCTACTCAGCAAATCAAAGCTTTTACTCAGATCAGCATTAAGGCTGGACTGGTGTATGAGGATAACTGTGGAGCCAGAGCTGAGAGGAGAGCTGGGAAAATGAGAAAAGTAGATGGCAAAGCAGCTTTGAATGTAAAACAAACAGATTCTCAATGTTTGTATTTTAGTATCCTTTCAACCTATTTCCTGTAATTGAATATGTTCAGATTCTAGCGACTTTAGTAGGACTTTTACAGCTACAGTGAAACTGAGACTCAGCAGAGACAAATGGACAGACACTCCACATCTGAAACAGAACGCTGGTAGTTGATGTTCAGATAATCCTAGCACTGATTCCAGCTAACAGGTTAATAATCTGGACTGGGGTTAACCTCAGGTAGCTGATTTTACTGGTTTCTGGCTTTGTGATCAGCAGGAAAGTTTACCCAGACACAGTTCATAGAGGAGGGAGGAGGGGTTGATGTTATGAGACAAATGTCACAGTGTTTTGGTTTCACACATGTCCAGATGGAACATTTTTTTTGTAGTTGGAGTTTAACCATCATTAATAAACACAAATGATTCCATGCAAGTTAACCAAGACAAAATTCGCGTCTGCTTCCCTTTAAATGTGAGCACAGCCTTGAAGGTATGTTTATTTTCCTTGTGCTGAATTCAAATAACCCATTAAAAACAGGCTGGTAGCCCAAATGTCCATCATTATCCCTGGTCACTCTGCTAATGCATTTGGGTCATTTGTTCTTACGTTTGATGTTTGTGTCTCTGCTTTTCTTTATGTGTCTAGAACTGGCCATCTCTCCGCCAAGGAGATGAGGACAATCTGCAAGGGCTTCCATCTACCTCTGCCTGAAAAGCTGCTGGGGAATTTGCTCAGCAGGTAGGAGCTGCACAGACCGGGGTCCATATCAAAAAGGTCCCACTACATTTATGAGAGATGAGATTACAAGATTAGACCAGACAACACCAGAACTTTACTCTCTCAGAGGGTGCTTTGGGCAAGAGTGCACGGAAAATATCAGTTTGTCCAACTTTGTGTCAATCAAACCTGGAGCATGGAGCAGCGTACAATTTCATAAAGTTCCAAATGTTTTCAGTGAGTGACAAATCAAGACTGCAGACAGGCCAGTTTAGCAGCAGGACTCTCCTACTAAAGAGCCATGCTGTTGTAATATGCACAGAATGTGGTTTGTCATTGTCTTGCTGGAATATGAAGGTCTTCCCTGAAAAGTCATAAACAATGTTTACATGTGCAAAATTTCTTGATCCAATTAAAAATATGATGGATTAGATAATCTGAATCTACTGTTTATATGGGTGCAAAATCAAATAATCCGACTCAGATTAAAAGCATTTGGACATGCGCAGAGTTGTCTGATTTCGCTAAAACAACTGCAGAAGAAGAATTGTATTTACACCTGTGCTGTCAACAAACCAACAAACGCAGTAGTGGCTCACTCCATCCAATTCAGGAGTTTTCCCTCAATGAAATGTTGTCACTAGATGGCGCCCTTGCAAACTTATTTTACTGTTCTATCAAAGGTTGCACTGTGCGTGGAGATGTGACATCATTACGCTGTATGTACGCCTTGTTATGTTACTGGAGGAGCAGACACGGTACCTGCTGTTGTGTTTTATGCCAGTGTTAATAATGAAACCTCCTTCACTGGCCTCAGTAAATAAACCAAAGGCTAAAGAGTGAAGATCGAGTCAGGTGAGAGAGTCACAATCGGAAAAAAGTGTTTACATAGACGCGTTTTGGAATAACGATCGGCATAAACCACCCCTGTCGATCGGAATATAATTTCTTCTAAAATGAGCCGAATTGAATCAGAATCCTCAGAACGACATGTTTACATGACGCATTTTTACTCCCATTCGATAATTCCGTGCCCATGTAAACGCAGCTAGTGTCTGGGTGGCAGCATATGTTACTCCAAAATCTGTTTATGTTGTTCAGCATTAATAGTAAATGCAGTGATGATTGGAAGTGATTTTTAGCCCATGCAGTAATTAACATTCTACGCAGCATCTTCACGCAAATTAAACTAGGGTGGTGATTCATTCCTGTTATTTTATATGTTTGTATTTTAGATATTCAGATGGAGACGAAATTGACTATCACGCCTTCCTGACTGGTCTTAATTGGTTGGAAAATCAGGGTCCCGAGGTAATGCCTGAGGATACCGTAAAGGTAAGGAAGAAGTGCAACAGATGCATTAAAAGCAAAAGCTGTAGAGAGGAGAGAAGAGAAAAGATGTATAGACTGGGAGTTAATCAGGAAAGCACTGTGACTTTATGGTGTGTGCAGATTTTCAAAATAAGTCTATATTTCACCCAAATCTGCGATGACTCAGTGGATGTAAGAGCCAAAAAAAGAATCAAGTCAAATGAACAGAAGACAATAAAAAGTCCACAAAAAGGTTTTAAAGAGACACACACACTTAAACACACTCACACACAAGCAGAGGTGGTCAAATAAAAAGGAAGTAGGTGCTTTGTCCGTTCCTTTTGTTATTTGTATCTTTCCTATGTTAGGCTGATTTAGCACGCTCTGCTACAGCCAAGCCTAAGCAGAAACAGGTGAGCAGCAGAGATATTCACCATGGCAGGACAACAAAGAGAGAATGAGAGTGTGTGTATTTAGGTGTGTGTGTGTGTGTGCGACACAGAGCTTACTTTACTCTCGTCTGTCATGGTTTCCAGCTGCTCTCTTTTTTTTCTGCTTCAAAGCCAAAACCAGTCACTCGGTCTCTGCTTAAATACTCTTAAGCCCCGACAATTTTTACAACAAAGGGGAGAAAATGAACACTGAATTTTCTCCTAGGGTTTCTTAAATGGAGTGGTGTTAGTTCAGTCAGGCCACAATGTCAAGTTTGGTCTAGAGTTTATCAGCTGATGCTAATGACTGCTAATTTCAGCTGACACTCTGCAATCGATCTTCAAAGAATCAAACCAGCAAATGGCAAAATTGGTGTTCTGTTTAAACTGCTTCAGCCTGACTTCTTTTGCCGCTTTCTATTCATGCCATCATATCACACGAATATCTGATAACTGTTGCAGTGATGTCAGGTGAATCATTCTGGTTTTTATATCTCTAGCCCAGAAGGAAAGTGTTCCCTCTTGACAATTCTGCAAACAGCTCACCTGCCCGTCCTCCCCACACCAATCCTTTCAGCAAAGTATTCAGCCTACATAAAAACAATCAGCCCCTAGAACAGAAACTGACAGGTCGAGCCACCCTCTTCTCTCTGATAGGTCACTGTCCTCTGCTTTTCATGAATTTCTCCACTCTTTGGCGTTAGTTAGTGTTTGGCATTTTCTCAATCCAAACTCTCAAGAATACACCCCTATCCAAAAGCTTACAACTCCTTCTCAAGAATAGATCACTTTGTCCTCTCCTACACATGCTCAAAAATGTCATTAATTATGATCGGGGTTCACGCTCCATTAGTACTTTTGTCCCTGTAGAAAGATTGTCAAGAAGACTTATGTGGAAATTCAACAATCATTTTCTCAAAATCATGGAGTTTAATCCCAGAATGTTTTACTTTAATTTTGATACAATTTGTCCATACAAATAGTGTGGGAAGCATTTAGCTACTTGACTGCTAAAAAAAAGAACAGATAAGTAACATGACCTCCATCCTCTTGGAGAGATCTCGAAGTTAAATACATGAAAAACCCAACTGATCGAGGTTGTTGTTGTTTGTTTGTTTTGGCTGCTGCTGTTCTTCCTGCCTTGGCTTTCTCTGCTAAATCTGCAGACTAGACGTGAACTCTCCTGACGAAAGTGGTCCTGACTGATAGTGTGTTTCTGTCGTTTCCAGTTTGATCTGAACGTGGCGTTTGATAAAGGTGAAGCTTCTCAGAAGACTGTCAACTACTCCTCACTTCTGGAGAACGTCTTCATTGTTTCGTCCAACAATGCTGATCCAACAGCCTCCATCATCTCTTAGAAACAAGTGGGAGGTGAACAGACTTACCTCACACATGGACACGCACACACTTCTCCATTAAAGAACATAATCCATCAGCTCACAGGGTCTGTGTTTTCGCTGTGTGTGGTGGTGTTGGGGGGGTGGGGGTGTAAAACTCCTGGTGGGACATGTTTGCATCATTTGAAAGTTTGTTTACACGAACATGAATATTTTGGCAGTAATGGCCTCTTCAAACATACACGAACACAAGCCAGTTAAGTGGAAAATTGATGCTGTGGAGTGGGAAACTTCTGACGGCTTGCATGCTTTTTGATGTTTGTCTGTGTGTGTGTTTACATGAGTTGGTGTGAATCCCTCTGAGACAGGAGGCGTTAAAACAGAACCACATTTTAGCTGCACACACACATCATAAAGCAGGCTTTAACGCTGTATCCTTCAGCACTGAGCCGAGTTGTTAAGAGGGGAAACTAATCTCTGAATGACTGATGTGTGCTGTAATGTTGTCTGCAGGCTTGCTGTGAGACAGACACTGTCTATATTATGAGAAAAGCAGATATTAGAGAGCTGTTATGAGTCCAAGAGACAGGAAGTTTATCTATGTAGCTTTATTAGGTTATCACCTTACACACTGAACAGGAATTTGGGTATTTTAAACCTTGGTTATATTGTTGCACACATAACAACAATATCAATCTTTACTGTATTATTTCTAACATGTAAAACTGCTGGGAAAGGTGTTGGTCACACAAGGCTTTACTGAGCTGCTGGCTTCCCTCTACAGTTAACTTCTAAGTCTTAAGAGCATATAGTATTTACCTGGATTTTGGGGGGAAACTCACTCTTTTTGTTGTCCAGGATTTGGTTATTTTAGATTACCAGAGCTCCAAATGCTCCAACATCACACACACTTCATCCACAGGCAGTGCCAAAAACCACACAAACTGAAGGTTCATCAGATTTTTAATATTTGATATTATTGTGTGGCTCATGTTTACCCAAAAGTACTTTCACAGAATTTGTCTTGCTTTATGAGCAATTTGAACTGTGTGCAATGTTTTTATTTCACCTCAGTGGGAGCCTCACTCCCCCTGTCCTGTCTTTAGGCTCCCCGTGGGGTCCTACCCCTCATAAACACTGTTTTATGGAGAAAAGTTCCTGCACTTTTTCACAACCTTAACATGCACTTTATGTGCTTTATTCTTGTAGGTCAAGAGCATTAATAATAATAATAATACAAACTTTATCAAAAGTATAAATTAGATTAAAACTAGTTTTAAAGTTTCTGACATTTCATTCATGTACTCCAGTTGGAAGTTCAAACCAAGATTAGATAACTTGATGTTATCTGGTCAGTTTTAACCAACGAGATTGCTTTTGATCATTTGGGCCTTGTAGACTGAATTTGGCCACCAAATGTTTTTGTTTTGCATTTTATAGGCTTGGATTGTTATTTCAGGTGTCTCCAAAGGTGCCTTCAAATTTTATGTTTTGAGCAGCACAGTTACCCAGTCCTGATTTTATTTGCAATATGGAAGTTACTAATTTCAGGAAAGGATCTAGAATCTCAATTACATACTGTTATTCCTTAAACACACGCCTTAATTAAAAAACTATTAATCAGCTTTAAAAGATCCAAATGCAGCAGCTCTGCTTTTTACCAGAACCAATGATGTGTTTACAATTTTAGCCCAAATAGCATCTGTTTTTAGGATGAAAAAAGGTTGACCCTTTCCTGTGGGGCAAAAAACTGTACTTTGTCAAGGAGTCTGGTGGTTTTGAAGAAAAGTGCTGGCTGTCTGGTTTTAAAAAATAGCATGCAGTGTAATTTTTTTCAGTGCCATTGTTTGCATTAGACTCAAGAGGTCACATTTTTTGTCTGAGTTGGACACCAGCATCAAAGGAAATCTGATTATATGGGAAACTAACTGCAGTAGCGGGTTTATAGTTTCTGACAGTGGGTTGATTTATACTCTCTTAATAAGTGGATTAAACACAGAGAGGAGAATAAAGAGAGGTTTAGAGGAGGGGACTCTCAGAGGTCTAATTTGCTAAGAACCTCGCCCTCATTATGTGTATGCGTGCGTGTGTATGTGTGTGCGTGTGTGTGCCGACAGCGTTTGACTATAAAAAGGCACAGGTTGTTCAGGTTGCGGCGCCACAGTAATCAGAGCCTGTGTTACAAATTCTGGTAAGGGGATAAGTCGAACATTAGGTAATCAACCACCCGATCCCCCTCCATGTAACCAACACACACACTCGCCTCACCCCCTTCACACCGAGCACAGAAACGGTGCATTACATCACCGTCGGCATTATCAGGTCCGCTCTGTCTGCTTTCACACATACTAAAATATTGGCTTCAATAGTCGCCCAACGCTGAACACAAAGGGTGACGTCGCTGCGGTCGCTGCGAGAAGGAGCTTCCTGAGAGGCTTTTTCTGTCTTTTCAAGAACTGGAGCAGAAAAGGACAGAGAGGGAGGACAGAGACAGACATCCCCTCCCTCCATGTCCTCTGCTCCCTCTTTTCCTGTCAGTCTCTGTTTCTTCACACCCACGCATCCCATCCCATTTTTTGCCTTGTCATTTCTTTTCAGCTGTGCGTCAGCCAAGAGATGCTGTAACGTCTAAGTCTGTGATCTGAATTATTCAAGGACTTAAAGACTAAAAGACTAAAAGTTTTGTCCCCAAAAGCAGGAGATTAACAAATAATGTCCATCCCAATAAAAGCAGAACGTCTGCATGCTGTTCCTGAGAAGCCAATATACAGACTGTTTGCTTTAATCGACCAAACACTGTCACTCACATTTCACTGCATTTATTGGATTAAAGGCCTTCACTTCTTCATTTTTCAGTAGGAATAAGACAAATAGATCAGAGAGTGACCTTCAGATGGCAGCAGCTCAGTTAGCAGCCCCCAAAATTGAAGAGAAAGAGGGTCCGTTTTTACCTGGTCCTTCTTTCAAGTGAAGAAGAGGCCCTCAGATAATCCACTTTACAGTAAGAAGTAACCAACACTATATATAATTTTAGCATATTCATTGCACATTCATATATATATATATATATATATATATATATAGTATATTTAGTTCATACCTGCACTGCCTATATACCTTGCACTTTACAACTTTGCTTTTCTGGTTAGATGCTAAAATGCATTTCGTTGTTCCTGTACTTGCACCGAGTTCAATGACAATAAAGTTGAATCTAATCTAATCTAATCTAATCTAATCTAATCAAAAAGTTTAAAAAGAAAAAAAAAGGTTAAAATGAACATTTGAGGAAACGTAGACTTAAAATTGGCTAGCAGCAGCTCAGTTTGCAGCCTACCGAGCTAAAGCAGAGGAGAGGTCAACAGGTAGTCTTGTCTGCAGGTTATTTGTCATCTCTCTAGATCCTTAATTGACTTCCCGTTAAATGAAATAAATTGAAACATGACAGTCAAAGAAAAATAATGAGACTCATTTGTAAACCCTCTCGACTGTCAGTGCTTTTCTCTTGCTCTGTGCACAATGACTCAGCTAAAATACAAAAAATGTACAGATTCAACCAACAAAATTTTCACCCTCTCTGAGGCCTCTTAACCCAATATTTGAATCTTGGACTTTAAGCATGCAACCCTTCTTTTAATTTGATTTTTTAAACAAAAGACTATCAGCATTTTCACATCTTTGAAAAACTCTATCTTTCAAGTCGAGCCACTACTCATAGAAAAAAAACAAAAGAACTTTGCACTCTAACTTTACTTGGAGACATACATTTACCTTCCTCCATAATTAAGTCTCTTCCCAGCACTTCATGCTTTAACAGTGACTTTTGTTGTTTCCGTTTCTCTCAGCAGAAGCAGAACATGTAGGCTTATTGTAAAGAATCCGCCTCTCTTGTTTTGTCATCTCTCCATTTTACTGCTGCTCAGCTCACAGACCACCGCACAGTAAAAACTGATACACAGGAAGGTCAGGGATCTCTCTGGGGTTAGGGGGGATCTCAGTGTGCACATTTAAAACTGAATGTGTGTCTGTGTGCACTTCACTGACTGTGCGTGCTGGGCTTAATGCGAGTCTGATGCAGTCATGGCTAATCTATGAAGTCTAAACAGATATCTGAGAACAAGAGGGGGAACTTCTCTGTTTACTGGCGGCGTGCCTTTCTTTTCTCATGACAACAAATCCTAAACCTGGAAGCCCAGAGACTCACACATCACGGAGCACCTGCATTAGGAGGTTGTTTTTCTCAGAGCGGTTCCCCCAAAGCAGCAAAGCTCACTCTGAATAAACTTCTAGTAACTGACACCATTGTTCAGATATCCTGGTTTCATCTTGTGGCTTTAATTGATTATAACACGAAAGTTTGAAGTATAGACACTACATGTATTTATACTGACAACTGCTGATTGATGTATAAATAGACAAAACTAGAAGTAAAGAAACCTTTGTGCACTGACCCAACAAAACCTTGAGTTTACTGATCAAGTCCAGGTCAAGTCTGAGTCACCAAAGAGAGATTTAAGTCAAGTCCAAGACAAGTCCCCAGTCCTGTTTACCTGAGTCAGAATAGCATGGTCACCAAATCTCAAATCATAGTTTCGTTTTGAGCCCTCAGTATTCAAGTCCAAGTTGATTGATTGGAGAGAAATTCAAGTTCAAGTTGTGTCCTGATTACCTGAGCAGTTGAGGTCACCGAACCACAAGTCCACATCAAGTCTCAGGTCCTCAGTTTTGTGAATCAAGTGACCAAAGAAATTGGAGTCGAATGTGATGCAATTACCAATTACATGTTTGAGTCCAGGTTATGTCCTGAATCCTGTGTCCAAGTCTGAGAACTGGAGGCACCAAATATTCAGTCTTAGTCATTTCTCAAGTTCTTGGAGTTCAAGTCCAACTTAAGCTCATGTAACTAGAGAGGTAGAAGAGTTGAATTCTGTTATATCTCTGATTACATGTGTTTGAGTCCAAGTCATTTCTGGCTGGCTAGCTTGCTGCTGCTGCTTCTTCGTAATCCTCTCTTATCTATTGTAGCTAAAATCAGTGAAAAGTACTAGCACTGCCTCTACTGGTCGCCAATTTCTTTTATAGTCTTACTGTATTCTTAATTCTAGCATGA